GTGCCTACGTTTCCTCACTTGCTGTAGACTTTGCGTGTACTGTGATCTATATATATGTATATATATATACCTGCATGCTTTCTCTTGCTAGGTAGTGATCACTGTACTGTTATTGCTGCATATATATCTCTGCATGCGAACTGGCCTTGTGGCCCTTTGCTTGTGCTCAGAGTGTGTGGTGACGTTGTGATCCACCCTGAGCTTGCTTTGCATCTCTTGACTGGTCTTGTGACCCTCTGTTCTCCCCCACTTTGCCTGTGGGGGTGTGTCAAACTATATCTGTGATGCTAGAATGTAGGCTGTAGTGGGGTAGCCCATGTGGGGTACAACACTTGTTAGGGTTTGTATTTGTACCCCAACTTCCATAGTCCTGTATTTGTACCCCAACTTCTAACAGATTCCTGCTGAGGGAGCGGATTTATTGGTTGGGCCATGTCTGCCCTGTGGGACAGCAATAAGTGCTGGCTCGCTGGTGTCATAATTCTGGTTCGACCAATGAACAAGCAACACGACGACTGCTTGCGGATGCGTGCAAAAAACTGCTGGCTATTAACTAGCGCAATGAATTATTTACGAAACCCTAACTGCTTGTACCCCATATAGCATGACCCACAACAGGGTATAACATTTGACATAAACAAGTTTGCTTTTCGAACGCGCAAGATGGCGACTGATAGGCCACCGGGTGTTTGTGCTGGCTCAGCAAACGCAATACACGGCGGGTTCTGCGCTTTCGTTTACAGTTCATAAATCGTGGCGCAAGAAGATTCCAGATTGTGCACAGCGGTTATCAGACTTCACCGTTTCGCACCTTGACGCAACAAGAGTAACCGCACAGAACGTAGTCAACCAAGTTCGAATATGAACGCGAGTGAACGCGCAAGATGGTAGCTGATAGGCCACTCCGTAGAAGTGCAATGCAAGCTCGGCAACACCAATGTACCTCGCCTGCCCAAACGGGGTAGGGCGGGGCGGCGGCTGCGGAGGGAGAAGTTGTAACGTGACTTCACAACATAAATTCTACCCCTTCGGATAAATTCTACAACCAAATTCGGATAAATTCTACAATAACGTGACTCCGCAACACAGCTCGGTTATTTCTTCGACTCACCTCCACTTCTGTCACAAGATAAATAGATTGGCTCGGAAGTGTACAGCGAACAATGTACACCTAACTATGTCACAAGATACTTGGATTGTTTTCCTGTTACAGCTATAGTTTCAGGTATGTTGTTTCAGAATTCACAAAAACAACATCCTCTCACCACCCTAGCCTTGGAAATCAAGAAAGCTGGTACATGTTCCCCTTAAAGCCGGCAGCCCAAATTGCACAAGTTTTAAAAGGTTGACGCGAGGGGGTTTTTGTGGTGAGGGTTTTGGCGAAAGATTCCGATTTCGCTTTTTTCGTTTTTTTCGCCAAACCCAGCCCGCCCTCGTATTTCGCCCTGGGGGTTGGTTCAGTTCCCAAAAGTCCCAAATTGCAGGCACGCTTTTCTTCAAACCTTGAAAACACTAGTTCGTCAAGTTTTAAAAGCTTGACCCGCGCGGCCCGCAATTTGGGACTCGGGCTTTAATATATTTCAATACAGAGTGGGCATTTTTACCAAAAACGGCGGTTTATGTAGGACTCAGCAGACGTGACACAGTTCACACTACAGTGCCTAACATCCAGCCCACAATAGCATACAACAGCTAAACTACAACTAACTCTGTAAATTTTCTTGCACTTTTCATAATCACCGAGGCCTTCGCGTGCACGTTCCGCAATCTGCACCCCTTTCTCTTTGCCAAAGGAAGAACACCTTGTGAAAGCTGGCTGTTTTTTAAAACGCCTCAAAAGTCAGCAGTCAGTTCAAGCCGCCAATCATTTCTCCTTGGCGAAGGAGACCAGCTCAAGATAACCCGCCAACGCCGGCTGCTCCACCGCCGAAGTCTGTCCGTCTCCCACCGGTTGTGATACCCCTGCCGGCTGTCCATTTCCCACTGCTGGCTGCGCCACGCCTGACGTCTGCCCATCGGCCACCACCTGCCCTTGTACAATCGGTTCTACTGCCAGGTGTGCTACCCCCGTACGCTGCTTTACCGCTGCCGCAGGCTTCTCGAAAACCTCGGTCACGTAGGTGGTCAGGGGTGGGTTGATGCGGATGCGCCCTTTGTTCGCTGCTGGGGCGACGGCTTGCAGAGTGATGCTCCACTTGGTGCCGGCAACCGCCTGGCTCTTGGCACTCAGAACCGAGATGAACCTGAGGCGCGCGTTCTGGTGTGGTGGGTTGGGGCGGGGTGGGGTGGGGTGGGGTGGGGTGGGGTGGGGAAGGACGGGATGAGGCTTGTGAGGCGCCACTTGGTGCTGACCACCTGGCTCTTCGCACCGAGACAAACCTGCTGCGGCGCGTGTTCTCGTGCAGTGGAGTGTGGCGGGGTGGATTGGGGTGGATTGGGGTGGGGTGGGGTGGGGTGGGTAAGCAACGGAAGCAGTTGAGGCTTGTCCCGGGCAATCGTGACACGGCAACCACCTGGCTCCATGCAGCCTTCAGCGAGACGAACCTGAGGTTCTTGTTCTTGTGAAGTGAAGTCGGATGGGGGATTGCGGACGGGAGGGGAGGGAGGGGACGGGATGGGGGTTGAGGGGAGAGGAGGGGAGGGTGTTTTCAGCTCGGGAGGGTATTTTCGACCGTGAGGGTACTCAGCTCGAGATCTGGCGAGGTGAGGTGGGGTGAGGTGGGATGGGGTGGGGTGGGGGCGAAGGGGAGTACCCAAGTCTTGCGCCGGGCCATTGATGTTGTAACACGGTGGGATTTGACGGATGGGATGGAATTTTTGGCCCAAGATCTGGCGGGGTGGGGTGAGGAGGGGATGGGAAGAGTGAATTTCCGAGGCACCTCAACAGAGTGTGGTTACTGAATGCTCTGGTGCTGAAACGTCTCCAACACAGGTGGTTTCATAGGCACTTCTGAAGACAGAGCGGCGTCAGGTTTCTCTGGATGTGCGATGGGCACTTTAACAGGCACGTTTTTCCTTGTTATCTTTCCTTGTTGTGCGCGTCGACGGCAACCTTTGCCAACTCCTTATTCGTCGCCAGGCCAAGTCGCTCAGGTGAAAAACGATCTGACTGGTACAACTGCCTTCAGGAGTCAACTCAAAAACCAACTCCTCAATCAATTGTCACCACGAGACGTCTTTCAGGCGAAATTCACGGCAACTTGAAGGATTGCTTTTAAGTCGACTTAAAAGCCAACTCCTGTATCCTTCACCACATCTTTCGAGTGTTTTCCAACCCGACACAAAGGAGATGTTTTCTCAGTCACCTGCAATAATGAGAGCAGTCAAGAAGAAAAATGCATGAACGCAATAATGGCGAAAAACGCTTCTCCAGGTACCTACCTCCGGAGTGGTTTCTCCAGGTACTTCCGAAGTGGTTTCTCTCGGTACCTGTTTCTTGTTGTACGCGTCGACAGCGAAGCTGGCCAAATCCGCCACGTGCTGATCGTTTGCCGCGTCTTTCACGGCGGACCAGCCGCCAGTACGCGGAGTTGCCGCCGCAGCGAACGGAATCGCGGAGAGGAGAGAAACGACGGCGACGACTGCAGCGACGGCAAGCATAGCGTGATTCACGTGACCGGGAATGCGCTGACCCATGATTGGTCGTTGGTGAAATCGGGCTGGGATAAGTGGTTAGATCGATTGGAATCAGGAGGCTATCAGAGAAGCGAAGAAGCAAACTACCACTCTCGTACACTATTATGGCTCACTCTTTCCAGCCAATAACTGCTTGTCAAATATACTGCATAAGATCTGCCAGCTAGTAGCCGTGAAGTCTCAAGGTGGTTCTTGATTGACAATGGATTTATTGGTTGGGCACGCCCCGGCGGAAGCCCCGGCGGCTCGCTGCCGCCATGGTTTGAGTCGAGAACGCGCATAACAACGACTGCTTCGCTGATGCGCGCAACCCGCTCGGCCGCTCACAAACGGGCTTGCGAACGCGCAAAGAGGCAACTGATTGGCTACCGCGCGGGAGAGCAACATCGCCAATGCCATGAGGTGACGCCAATGGCAATTTTACGATTGATGGTGAACGCGCAACGCGGCAGATGATAGGCTGCATGAAGCATATTCCGAGTCTACTTTGGCCGCGAACGCGCGAAACAGCAGATGCAGATGACAGGCCACTGCGTGCGCCATATATCTAGCTGGTATTTCTGACTGTGTGAATCCGCAAAGCACGGCGGCTGCTGAGGGTGAGTTGAGAGGTCGTTACAACCCGTGGTGGTGGGCTGGTAGAGTTGTTCAGCAGAGGTCGGTCTGGTGCCCTAAACGTATCTCCCCTTGAGGTTTGGTTGTGCGGTTTGGCAATCATTCAAGCTTCAATAATTTCCACATCTGTTTGGCTGTGAACCCGCAAAGCGGGACCGCCGCGAGCGGAGCCCGCGACGAGAGTCTGCTGGAGCGATGCCGCACCACTCTATAAGCGAATCCATTAGCATCAACTAGCACGTGCTCAAATTCAAGAAACACGGTACAGATTGAGAATGATTAAGGAGCTTTTATTCAGTACTTGAGTCCTCCAGCATTTCATGCCCTCGGCTGACATACGGCACACGAGCAAGCAGAACTGCTGACTCATGTGTCTATTCAAGCTTCCCATTCATTCAGCTGAATCAATCAAAAAACCTCCCGAAGCCTAGCCAACTTATTGATACCGTAATGCAAGCGAGCAGCCACGATGTTCCACCACATGGCACAAGCAGCAATTTCCCACAGCACCAGCCAGAGCGCTCACGTTGTCGCTCGAATCATATTCCACATTCACCAGTGTGGCATGTGCACATCTGCTCTATAACTCGCAGTAATGTGAGCAGCACAGCTGCTTGTGCAAAGCCTATCTTCTCCACGGCTCCAGTCAGAGCACTCACTCTGTCGCTCGACGAATCTTCCACATTCACCAGAATGGGCAGATGCACTTCGGTTCGCGATTTAACCTCATGCATTGCAACTACAGCTCCTCATGCAAAGCCGATCTTCTCCAAGGCTTCAGCCAGAGCGCTCACTTTGTCGCTTGACGAATCCTCCACATTGACCAGATTGGGCAGATGCACGTCACTGCACGGCACAAACTCATGCAGCAGCTTCCTCCTGTATTCTGCAAACGGATCTAACCCTGCTGCTGCTGACGCTCCTTGGTGCTGTGCCACGTCAGCAGGGGGAGGCTCCAGAATGAGCGTGTGGTGCATGCCTGACAGCAGCTGCGCGTAGTCACCGTCAGCGCCAGCTGGACTGCCGACGATGACTGCCAGGTCAGCAGGCTCCAATCCCCAGCGGACACAGAGGTACCTGGAACAGTGACGAATGGAGAGGGAGGAAGAGGGACAGATAGGGACAGAGGGATAGAAAGTAGGGGAAAACCGTGTGAAGGATGTTAAACCCAATATACAATTAATATTTTGCCCAATAGGTACAGAAAACAAAACATAGTGCACAAAATACATTACCTGAGGGCCTGTGAGCGAGAGGCGTGGAGAGGCAGGATGTGAAGACACGTGGCGGCACGGCAGTAGCCCACGTGGCATCTCAATCCACGTAGGCGCAGGCGACGCCGCAAGTCAGCTGCTGTGGGCATCTGGGGGAGGCAGAGGGGCAGAAAGGAGGAGCGCAGAAAAAGGAAATCATTTAGCTTTGAGAACTTTCAAAAGACAGATGCAAGTCAGCTGCTGGGGGAAGTAGGAAGGGGGACGGGGGTTTTGAAGGAAAGTAGGTAGGACGAGAGCCAGTTTTGAGAACTTTCAAAAGACAGACGCAAGTCAGCTGCTGTGGGTATGAAGGACCATTCCAAGGGGGGGAGGAGGTGGGATGTGGGAAGAGGGACGGGGTTTTTGAAGGAAAGTAGGTAGGAGGAGAGTAGTGAAAGCAGAGCCTTGCCTTGATTCCGACGTCAGCACCATGCCATGCTTCCTACGTGACAAGCCAAAGCCCTTTTACGTGGGAAGCATGGCATGAAATGGGACTTCATACCGATGTCAGCACCATCCCATCTTCCACACACACCCGCCGCACGAAATGGGACTTCTTACCAAGCATATCAAATGTGCATCACACCATAGCCGAGTGGAATACAGCAAGGGCGGTGCTCAAGGTCAAGCAGTCCTTACCTGGGCAACGACCAGCACTCGGTATGCCAGCTGCCTGGAGGTGGTTCTCATCTCATCCTCCACACACAAGCGCTGCATGCCAGCAAGTGCCATGTACTCTAGGTCAAGCTGTCCTTACCTGAGCAACATCCAGCACTCGGTACGCCAGCCGTCGGGATGTGGTTCTCATCTCATCCTCCACACACAAGCGCTGCACCGCCAGCAGAAGCTCATCACCACAGCACATAACAGCACAGATAGCGTTCCTTACCTGAGCAACATCAAGCACTCGATACGCCAGGCGCCGGGATGTGGTTCTCATCTCATCCTCCACACACACACGCTGCACCGCCAGCAGCTGCTGTTGCTGCAGCAGCAACCCATTCCCCCGCGCCCCTCTCGATCCCGCCCCCACCCCCCCGATTCTGCTCCCTGTAATGCTCTTGCTCCCTGGGATACCCGTGCGGGAGGAAGCAGCTGCAGGCTCAGAGGCAATTGCTGTCAGCCCGTCTGAGAGCGAGACTGAACGCACATACTCCTCCTCGTTAGTAGCAGCCCCGTTACCAGCAGCAGCAGCTGCAACAGAACCGTTTGCACCAGAAGATGCCTCAGGGACAGAAGCAGAGAGAGCAGAGGCAGGGGGAGGGAAGACACCACCAGAGCCTGCAGCAGGAGTGGTGGCAGCGCTGGCAGCCCCACCGGTGGTTGTACCCTTTATAGCATGAGCCAGGATTCGTCCCATGGACCTGCGTACACCGTCAGCACTCCACCGGTATTCGATATGCGCGAAATAGTCCGGATCGGGAAGCAACTGCCAGCCTTCCCGATCCTCCAGAGGAGCCATGGCTGATACCAGACCTGCTGCCATGCCTGCAGCCGCTCCTGCTCCTGCAGCCGCCCCTGCTCCTGCTCCTGTTCCTCCAGCTGCTGCTAGGTCTGATGCGGTGGAGCACGGTACAGAGTAGTACACCTCGCTCCCTCCTCCAGCAATCAACGCATCAAGCTGCCTCAGCCCCACTCCTGCTGCTGTCAGCATCGCCACTGTCTCTCTGGCAGTCAGTGCTGTCGCCAGCACCACACCAATCTCCCCGCCCGGCCCCATACCCCATACAACGCGCTCCCTTAACGTCCCCGTGTTGTGCCGGTAGGCCACCTCCAGGGCGGCGCAGAGCGAGTCCAGAACAGACGAACCCGGCCGGCCAACAGGATCGTATTCGTCCACAGCGACCACAATCAGCCGCCGCCGCCGCCTCAGCCGGAGCCCCTCGAAAGCCGCCGCTGCCGCCGCCCCTGCTGCCGACCCTCTCTCTCCAGCCCCAACCCCTGCTCCTCCGTCCTCCCCTTCCTCCTGCATCCCCTGCAGTCTTCCCGACCCGCCCACCCCTTCCCGGTACCGCCCACCGCTCTCAGACCCCATCCCCCCAGTGAAAGAATAATTCCCCAGCCTGTTGTGAATCCCCAACACTGCTCCCGCTCCCAGCCCATCCCCACCACCAAGCCCACCAGCACCACCAGCAGCATGAGACGGCTCGGCAGCATAGCCGCTAGCGGACCGACCATCCGGCCGGATAACCCCGAGGTTATCGAGCATGAAAGAGAGATCCATTGAGCCTCCTTGGAAAGACCCGCCCTGGAAGGAGCCTCCGCCCCAGAACTTGCCGTCGAAGGAGAGACGCAGAGAGAGGTCTTGAATGTCCCGGAGGGAGTCGGAGTGGAGTCCGGTGCTGTTGGTGTTTGCAGCGGTGGCGGCAGCGACCTGGTCGAAGAGCGCTGCTGCCCTCCACACTGGGTGGCGCAGCCGGGACTGGGCCACTCGGGTGAGGAGAGATGCGCAGTGCTGTGATGGGGGGAGAGGGAGGAAGAAGGGGAGAAGGGAAAGAGGAGACGAGGATTGTTGAGGCAGCAGAGGCAGCGACCTGGTCGAAGAGTGCTGCTGCCCTCCACACTGGGTGGCGCAGACGCGACTGGGCGACTCGGGTGAGGAGAGAGGCACAGTGCTGTGATGGGGGGAGAGGGAGGAAGAAGGGGAGAAGGGAAAGAGGAGACGAGGATTGTTGAGGCAGCAGAAGCAGCGACCTGGTCGAAGAGTGCTGCTGCCCTCCACACTGGGTGGCGCAGACGCGACTGGGCCACTCGGGTGAGGAGAGAGGCGCAGTGCTGGTTGGGAGGAGGGGAGGGGGGAAGAGCGAGAATGGGGAAAAAAGGGAGTGATGAATGGGGAGAGCAGGGAACATGGTTTGGCGGAGATGTGACTGGGCCACACGGGTTAACAGAGAGGTGCAGTGCTGTTGGGGGGGATAAGGGGAGAGGGAGAACGGGAGAGGGAGAACGGGAGAGGGAGAACGGGAGAGGGAGAGAACGGGAGAGGGAGAACGGGAGAGGGAGAACGGGAGAGGGAGAACGGGAGAGGGAGAACGGGAGAGGGAGAACGGGAGAGGGAGAACGGGAGAGGGAGAACGGGAGAGGGAGAACGGGAGAGGGAGAACGGGAGAGGGAGAACGGGAGAGGGAGAACGGGAGAGGGAGAACGGGAGAGGGAGAACGGGAGAGGGAGAACGGGAGAGGGAGAACGGGAGAGGGAGAACGGGAGAGGGAGAACGGGAGAGGGAGAACGGGAGAGGGAGAACGGGAGAGGGAGAACGGGAGAGGGAGAACGGGAAGGGAGAGGGAGAACGGGAGAGGGAGAACGGGAGAGGGAGAACGGGAGAGGGAGAACGGGAGAGGGAGAACGGGAGAGGGAGACGGGAGAGGGAGAACGGGAGAGGGAGAACGGGAGAGGGAGAACGGGAGAGGGAGAACGGGAGAGGGAGAACGGGAGAGGGAGAACGGGAGAGGGAGAACGGGAGAGGGAGAACGGGAGAGGGAGAAAGGAGAAGTGGGAACGGGCGAGGAGGAAGCGAAGAGTGATAAGATGAGGAAGGAACGAGACACTTCAGGCGCATGTGAGGATTAAAAGACATTCCAGCGAGCAGCAGTTTAAGGGAGAAGGTCTAGCGAAGGAGAGAAAAGTTGTAGAAAAAAAACTTGCTAATTCACGTACGACAAGAGTGATATGGTGAGGAAGGGCGAAGAGAGTGATAAGATGAGGAAGGAACGAGACACTTCAGGCGCATGTGAGGAGAGTGATGCAGTGCGCAGCTCAAACACAGTCCCATCTGCACCACCTACACTTATCTGCACCCACTCGCACCCACCTGCAGCCCGCAGTACTTGTGAATGTTGGCGAGAGCAGACTTCCAATCCGTACAATCTGTCCTCCACCAGCTGTAGCATTCCCTGAGAGACCTCTATTGAGGTACCTACGAAACAAACAATCAACTCACCCACCTGCGGCCGAGAGTACTTGTGAATGTTGGCAAGAGCAGACTTCCTGCAATTTGTCCACAGCGCCCTGTCCGCCGCCAGCTGTAGCAGCGCTGACTGAAATAACCAAGTTGAGAGGCGCCTATGAAACGCACCACACACCCACTCACACCCACAGTGCCCTGTCCGCCACCAGCTGTATAAGACCCTAGATGCAACTCTACGAAGCTTGGGGCAACCAACCATGCACCCACCTGCGGCCATGAGTACTTGTGGATGTTCGCCAGAGCTGACTTCCTGCACTCGGTCCACAGTGCCCTGTCCGCCACCAGCTGTAGCAACGCAGAGGCGAGTGCATTGGCGTCATGCGGATCCACCACCAACCCGTTGCTCAGCATCTGAGTGAGGAGGGTATGGAGAAGGAAAGAGGAGGGAGAGGAGGAGGGGATCAAAATATATAATCGGAGGGCAGCACAGGAGGCCCTCTGTCCGCCACCAGCTGTAGCAACGCAGATGCCAGGGCGTTGGCGTCGTGAGGATCCACCACTAGCCCGTTGCTCAGCATCTGAAGGAAAGGGGGAGGGGGGAGAGAAGGGGGCGAGAGAGGGGGAGCACGTGGCAGATAGAGGATGCAAGGACAGCAGAAGAGCTGTGTTTCGTCCCCAACAACCACGTTGGCGTCATGAGGATCCACTACTAGCCCATTGCTCAGCATCTGACCGAAGGGAGGGAGAGTGGGGAAGGGAAGATGGGAATGGGAAGAGGGCAGCTTAAGAATGGGAGGGCAGCACAGGAGGGCCTCTGTCCGCCACCAGCTGCAGCAACTCGTGGTGGCGTCATGAGTTTCCACCACCAGCACGTTGCTCAGCATCTGAACCTAAATCGGATAGGCATGGTAGGAGTAGGGATAGGAGGAGGAACAGGGGGGTTGTTGGGACGGATGCTGAGGAGGGGAGGGCAGAGAAGAGGGTGGGTGCATTTGAGAAATCTCAGAACACAGCCTGCCTGCAGCAGTTGAGCAATATCAATACACACCATGAGCTCACTGGGGCGGCAACAGGGGCGGCCTTCTGAGATCCATAGCACAACTGGCTCACACCTCAGACACTCCTTTGCACGGGTTGATTTTAAGAAGCACTCACCTTCTGGATGTGAACGGGACATCTGTTCTTTGTGGCTACCATGGGCAGGCCGTGCGCTGCTGCCTGTGGTGTGTGTGAAAAAGGCCAACACTCACTCGTGACAGTTGCATCAACTCAAGAGTCAATTTGCCGCGATAGCAGGGCGCTCACCTTCTGGATGTCAACTGGGCCGCCGTTGTTCGTGGCTACCATGGGCAGACCGTGTGCTGCTGCCTGTGAACAGTTGGGCATACTCCAAAGTCTCCTCAATAACAAGACGGACGCTCACCTTCTGGATGTCAACTGGGCCGCCGTTCTTCGTGGCTACCATGGGCAGACCGTGTGCTGCTGCCTGTGAACAGTTGGGCATACTCCAAAGTCTCCTCAATAACAAGACGGACGCTCACCTTCTGGATGTCAACTGGGCCGCCGTTCTTCGTGGCTACCATGGGCAGACCGTGTGCTGCTGCCTGTGGTGTGAAACAAATGGGGAGAATTGGCGAATGGGTTGGAACCGAGGGAGGATGGAGGGTGAGTGGAAGACAATAGGGGAATGGGAGGAGGGAAGGGAGAAGGCGTGGAGATGAAGGCGATTTCATGGAAACAAGAAGTCCAACAGTGGGAGAAGGACAGAGAGAGAAAATGATTTGGCGCTTGACTTTCATTTGAAACCCAAAACCCTGCTACTAACACGCCTGAGAATAATAATGTGATGTAGGACTGAGGCCAAGGGGAATAAGCTGATTTTCTACAGAAAAATCAGTTTGAAGTCCGTACCTCGATGAGCGTGAGGCCGAATGGCTCCACGAGCGCTGGGTTCACAAACACGCCCTGGAGAGGAGAGGTGGAGAACGGGGATAAGATAAGAGGGGCGGGCAGGGAAGAAGAGGGGAGCAGAGAGGGGGGTGGGAAACGTCATATGGGTGAGGCCGAAGGGCTCCACGAGCGCTGGGTTCACAAACACGCCCTGGACAGGAGAGGTAAGGGAAGGGGGCAAGAGCGGAATACAGGTGAGGATGGCAATGCTTTTAGAAGAAAATAAAGGCAGCGCACCTTGGACTTGGCAGAGAGGGCGTAAATGTCCGGGACCTCAGCCTGCCTGTGATGCTTGGGGTAGGCCACCTGCCCGTACTCTGTGACCGTCTATTCCCTTCGTGTACATGATTCTTGCATATAAATACTAAAGGCACCTCACCTTGGACTTGGCAGCGAGGGCATAGATGTCCGGCACTTCAGACTGCTTGTGGTGCTTGGGATAGGCCACCTGCCCGTACAGGTCGTACTTGTCTATCAGCTTCAGCACCGTCGTCAGCACCTCAGCGTTGCCCGCACTCATTGCATCAATGTCGTCACGATTGCCCATCACCAGACACTGGAAAGAAGGTGGGTGGCCGTGGGTTTGGATGGGTTGAGGTGGGGGGGTTGAGGATGGGAGAAAGGTAGGTGCATTCTGCAGCTTCAGCACCGCTGTCAACACCTCTGTGTTGCCGGTGCTCAATGCATCAATGTTGTCTGGATTGCCCATCACCAGGCACTGCAGCAAAGAGTGGGTGGATGGGCGGGAAGGGGAGGGAAGGGATCAGCTTCGGCAGCACTGTCGTCAGCACCTCAGCGTTGCCCACGCTCATGGCGTCAATGTCGTCCCGATTGCCCATCACCAGACACTGGGGAGGGTGGGGGAGAGAAGGGGGAGAGGATGGTAGTGGGCAGTCATGAGATTCACGTGGTAGGTGGTAGAAGTACACTAGCTTCAGCACCGCTGTCAGCACCTCAGCATTGCTTGAGTCAATACTGTCGCGATTGCTCATCTCCAGACACTGGGGAGGGTGGGGTTGGGTGGTGGTGGGGTGGACATTGGAAGGGAGAGTGGGTGGGTTGCGTAGGCAGGAATGGAGAGGAGGCAGGAAATGTGACGTAGCATAACATAGCATAGCATCTGCTAACACGTAGTGCATTCTGTTACATCGCCTGGCAGCAAGAGACCTTCATGTGAGCGCATGAAATCATCCTCTGCACATTCCAAGCCTTATCCGATTTGCAAGCTCCCTGCACGCCTGCTCATGCTACTCACCAGGTTGGCGAGGTCTCTTAAAGCCTGGCACTCCCCGAAGGCGCGGACGAGCGTGGTGAGATTCTTCTTGGGGTCCGGACGGGCGAGGGCCAGGATGATGGGCTTGTGCGGGTTGGACCAGAACTTGCGCACCTGGAGAGGGGGGGGGAAGGGGGGGGGAAGAGGGGAGGAGAGGAGAGAAGGGGGAAGGGGGATAGATGGGGGGGAGGCAGGAAAGGGGACACACATAGAACAGGGAGTGTGGCAGAGAGGACCGGGATGATGGGCTTGTGTGGGATGGACCAGAACTTGTGCACCTGGGGAGGGGGAAAAGGGGCAGCGCGAACGGGGGAGGCACACATTTGGGAAAAGGGAAGGTGGAACATAGAAGGAGGGGCAGGTGCCGCAGGCGAGGGTCGAAATGATGGGCTTGTGGGGGTTGGACCAGAACTTGCGCACCTGGGGGGGGGAGAGGCGGAGGGGAGGGGGGGAGATATGGGCGGGACAAAGGAAGGGGAGCAGGTGGGGCGGGTGAGGGTCAGAATGATGGGCTTGTGCGGGTTGGACCAGAACTTGCGCACCTGGGGGAGGGGGGAGAAGGGGGAAGGGGGATAGATAAGGGGGGGGGAGGAAGGGGACACACATGGAACAGGGAGTGTGGCAGAGAGGACCGGGATGATGGGCTTGTGCGGTTTACACCAGAACTTGCGCACCTGGAGAATTGGGGAGATGTGGGGGAGTGTGGGGAGCAGTTGGGGGGAGCGGAGGGCTTAGATGTGCGGAAAGGGAAGGGAAGACAAGGAAAGGTGAACGGTGAGGCTGGCAAGAGACAGGAGATGGGCTTGTGCGGGTTTTGGAATTCCAGAAGAAAATGATCACAAGCATTGGTTAGAGTTTGACGATACAATACAACGACGGAATGTGCTACAAACGAGTCATTTCTTCTAAACCTCCTATGAGTCGTCTTGAAAGTCATGACGTTACGATTACAAAATGTGCTACAAACGATTTGTTCCATACCTCGGCCCAGATGGGAGGCTCAGGCCCGGGCGAATCAGAGCCATCGATGTCTGGGACAACCACGTTGGAAAAATCCATTCCTGGGGGGATAACCTGATAGGTAAAGGGGGGGGGGCAACAGGAATGGGACGGAGAAAATGGAGGGTGATTGAAGTAAGGGGTGAAGGAAGGTCCGAATAGCTGGGAGCTATGACAGGGATGACCACATTAAAAACAGTCCATGCAGGAAATATGACAGGATGGGTGGGAGGTTGAGGTGGGAATGAAAGGAGAGAAAAGGAGGAGAGTGAGGGAAAAGTATAGGTTCTTGAGTAGGTTCATCGCGTGATAAAAGTGAGTTCTTGAGGCGTCTCAAAAATCCTGAAGCCCTAGACCCTCTGAAATGAAACCCTAAATCCAGAACCCCCTGGCTCAACTCACCGCCATGCGGGAGGGGGAGGAGAGGGACGGAGAGGAGGAGGAGAGGGAGGGGGAGGAGAGGGAAAGTTTCGGGTTTTTATCAGACGGGGGAGGGGAGATGGAGGGGGAGGAGGAGGAGGAGGCCAGGAGAGGGGAAGTGGTGGTAGATAAAATGCAATCGTTTGGTACCCGGGGCTAGAGGCTCTGAACCCCACACCCTCTCCCACCATCCCCACTGTTCCAACAGTTCCTCGTGCAACAGTGACGCGGGTGGGAAAGGGTGTGGGGTTCAGAACCCTAGCCTTGGATGCCAAACGATTGGCGATTGATCTACCTCCACTTCCCCTCTCTTGACCTCCTCCTTCTCCTCCCCCTCCCTATCATCCCCTTCCTAACCGAAACTCGAAACCATGCATCTCCAGACTCACCGCCATGCGAGGCATGAAACGGCCGTGGCAGCTGACCCCTCGGGGCTGTTGGGCGCGCAGCACCCTCTCCAGACGCACGTCAAAGCCAACCCAGAAAGTACCTTAAATCTGTGTCCCCATGTGTACTCACCGCCATGCGCGGCATGAAGCGGCCGTGACAGCTGACTCCCCTGAGCTGGCGGGCGCGCAGCACCCTCTCCAGACGCACGTCAAAGCCGTCATACAGCCCCCACTGCTCCTCCACCTCCTGCCTTGTGCTCGTCACCACCAGCTCTGCGGCGTCCAGGGAGAACTCCTCGGCCTCTATCCGCCGGTCGATGGCGTACTGTGTGTTGATCTCTGCTCGGGTCATGCGGCCCTGCTTCAGCAGCTGCTCCAGCTTGTTGCGGCCAAGAGAATGGCCTGTGAGCACCATGGGCACGTTCAGAGCACCTGGACAGAGCGCGGGGAATGGCAGGGGAGGGGAGAAAGGAAGGGGGTTTGGGGAATGGAAGCGGGGGGTGTCATGTGACAACCAGCTCCGCGGCGTCAAGGTCATTCAGCCACCACCAGCTCTGCTACATCAAGAGAGAACTCCTCTGCTTCGATGCGCCGGTCGATGGCGTATTGGGTGTTGATCTCCGCTCGAGTCATGCGGCCCTGCTTCAGCAGCTGCTCCAGCTTGTTGCGCGCAAGAGAATGGCCAGTAAGGACCATCGGCACGTTCAGTGCACTTGGAAAAATTGGGAGGGGAGGAGGGGGGCGGGGGCAGGAGATGGGAGGAAGAATCCTGCTTTAGCGGCTGCTCCAGCTTGTCATGCAAGCGAGAGTGTCTCGTTAGGACCATCGGCATGTTCAATGCACCTGGACAGGTAAGGGAAAGAGGGCAAGGGAGGAAGGGGAGGGTGCTGCTTCAACAGCTGCTCCAGTTTGTTGCACCTGAGAGAGCGTCCGGTCATGGCCATCGGCACATTCAATGCACTTGGACAAATTGGGGCGGTGAGAAGCATGAACGCACAGAGGCACTGACCTGAGAGCAGAGCCGCTACATCCCGGGCACCAGCGTAGTGCCCATGAATCATGTAGGGCCACACGCGCTGCCCGTCGCCGATCTGACCCGCGAGCTCCCGGGACGTGAGCTCACACGGAGTGCATGATGTGCGTGAGAGCGCTCCAACCCCCACCACAGCACTCACACCTATTGCAAGCATGTGTAGAGCCTGGTCCAGTTCCGAGACGCCTCAAGATTCGGTAGCGCTGAGACCCGTAAACTGGAGAGGGACGGGCACACCCACCTGAGAGCAGAGCCGCAATGTCCCCGGCATCGGCATAGTGCCCGTGGATCATATACGGCCATACTTGCTGCCATGAGAGCAAGAAAGGCATGACAGTAACTGACCAGAGAGCAGTGCAGCTATGTCCCCAGCATCAGCATAGTGCCCATGAATCATATACGGCCACACGCGCTGCCCGTCGCCGATCTGATCCGCCAGCTCCCGTGACATGTGCATGATGTGCGTGAGGGCCTCAAGACACGACCGGTGAACCAGCACACCCACCTGAGAGCAGCGCTGCAATGTCTCCTGCGTCAGCATAGTGCCCGTGAATCATGTAGGGCCACACGCGCTGCCCGTCCCCAATCTGATCAGCCAGTTCTCTCGACATGTGCATGATGTGCGTGAGGGCACCGTCCACAAACTCGTCCACGTACGGCCACAGCGCCTCCTTGCGCAGGTACTGGTCGCGCGGCCCGCACGGCAGGCGGATGATATAGGCGCCCGCGCTCTCCCCCGCTATCAGCCCGTCCGGATCGTAGCGGAGGGAGCTGAGCATTTCAGAAGGTTCTCCATACGACCAGTCAACCTGGGCATCAGGAAGGGAGGGGAGAGGAGCATGTATGGTTGAGCGCGGTTGGCAATGGGCAGGCGGATGATGTAGGCGCCCGCACTCTCCCCCGCTATCAGCCCGTCCGGGTCATAGCGGAGAGAGCTCAGCATTTCTGAGGGTTCTCCGTAGGACCAGTCCACCTGGGCAGCAGGGAGGGAGAGAAGAGGAGCGTGTATGCGGCTGAGTGCGGTTGGCAAGGGTTCAGTTACTGGCCCGCACGGCAGGCGGATGATGTAGGCGCCCGCGCTCTCACCCGCTATCAGCCCGTCCGGGTCGTAGCGGAGGGAGCTCAGCATTTCGGAGGGCTCCCTGTACGACCAGTCAACCTGTGCACAAGGGGGGAGAGGAGAGAAGAGACGGGAAAGGGAGAAGAAAGAGGAGAGAGGGGAGAAGGGAGAAGTGAGAGGAGAGGAGAGGGGAGAGGAGAGGGGAGAGGAGTGTGTGGGTGCAGTGAGAAGATCCACACGGGACACCTGAGGTATGCACGCCAAACACCCCCCCTTTTTCCTGATAACCAGCTCCAAACCCATCCCCACCACTCCCCACCACTCACCACCACTCACAACCACTCACCCCAGGGGCAACAATCTGGCGTGTGAGCAGATCAACACGGTACACCTGAGGCATGGACGCGAGAGCCCTCCCCTCTCCTAATGAGCAGCTCCAATCGCACCCCTCCACCACTCTCAACCACTCATCACCACTTCCTATCAGCACTTACCCCAGGGGCAACGATTTGGCGTGTGAGCAGATCCACACGGTACACCTGAGGCATGGACGCCAGAGCACGTGCAATCTCCACCACGTATTTCACCTGGCCAAGGTGGGGGAGGTGGGGGGGTGCGGAGAGGGATGGAACGGAGGGGAATAAGAATGATGCCTGCCAACCTGCTGAGGCATGGACGCCAGGGCACGTGCAATCTCCACCACGTATTTCACCTGCACACAAGGCACGAGCGTTGGGGGAGTAAGATTAAATTAGGGTGTGGTGCGGAACAGAGTGGCTCATGAGGCTAGCAGCTGAAGGGTGGAACGAGGAGGGGCGAGTGCATGCGTGCAGTGTGCATGAGTACAGGTGTGGACGCGGAAGAGGGGTGAAAAGAGGTGCAGGAGTGCAGACAGGTGTGCAGCACACGAGAGGGCGGCACACGAGGGGAGGAAGGATAGAACACAGGGACAGGCAGCGTACATACCTGGCCGCCTGTATCGGAGTCTCGCCCCAGCTCCATGTTCTCTCCTCGCACTAACCCATGGATGCTGTATGGCGCAGGTGCAGGGCGGGAAACGAACACATGCACATGCACAATGCGTTATTAGCCTTTTGAGCCGCCTCAAGAATCCCCAGGTCCATGTTCTCTCTGCGCACCAACCCGTGGATGCTGTTGGGCACATGCAAGATGAGTTCACTCATTTGTGTGTACATTCGATATTCCAAGATCCACGCATTCTCTCATTTAACAATAACGACAATCCCAAGGCTCACCTGATCATGACAATATAGAGGCTCTTCTCCGAGCCATGCTCAAGCGCATCCTTCCCAAGCGCCTCAGCAACCCATCTAGTTATTACAGCCCATACACTCAAGTCAAGGCAATCCCAAAGCTCATCTAGTAACGACAATCCCAAAGCTCACCTAGTAACGACAATCCCAAGGCTCACCTGATCATGACAATATAGAGCCTCTTCTCCGTGCCATGCTCAAGCGGGTCCCTCCCAGTCGCCTCAGCAGTCGACCCTGCACCAGCAGGCACCTCCCTCTGCCTCTCCCCCTGCTGGTTCTCCCTCCTCCCCCGCGACTCCTTCTCCGCTGCAGCCTTTGCTGCTGCCGCCTGGGCCGCTGCCACGTTGGCACTGGAGTCCAGCAGGTCATCCGCGGCCTTGTCCACGTCAGCAGCCACGTCAGCGCCGGGCAGAGCGTCCGGGAGCGCGTCATCGTCAGGGCCGTCCTCCTCCTCTATATCCAGCTCAGCCTCCTCCTTGTCGTGCTGCTGCTGCTCCTTAATCCGCGACGCTTCTTGCTCCAACTGCATGGGAGAAGGGAACGAGGCGAATTCAGTAGGTAAGTTCAGCTGCGTCCGCAGAATCCAGGGAGAGAGAGTCCCCCAGGAAGCATGGAACGGGGGAGTGGTGGTGGTGGGGGCCGTCCTCCTCCTCTATATCCAGCTCAGCCTCCTCCTTGTCGTGCTGCTGCTGCTCCTTGATCCGTGACGCTTCTTGCTCCAACTGCAGGGGAAATGAGAACGAGAGGGACGCAAGTAAAGCATGGACGTGTTCCCAGGAGACACGGAGAGAGGGTGCGCATGGGAGGAGGGGGGAATTGGTGGGACTCAAGTGCCGAATAGCGTAGTAGGAAGATGCTTTACCCCTTCTAGATTATAAATTGCATGGAATGATTTTTTCCTCCCTTCTCCAAAACGAATACTTACGCAGAAGAGTCGGCACGCTGCGCATACCTGCTTCTTTTTTCGGGACAGATACCAGATTCGCCACGTGAAATTCTCCATTCGAGCACCTTTCTCGTCGCTCATTGCTGTGGCCTGCGGGGAACACGGATCAAAGATCAAAGCAAAGAACGCATCAGGATTTCGCAGCTGCTAAAAGGGTACCAATCCAATCATGTGCAATACAAACGCGTGCGACGCGCGATATGATCGCCTATGCGAAAAATCAATGTGTGACGATATTGTGTGCGACGCTTCCATCATTCATGTGCGACAGTTTTATCGCCCATGTGCGACAATACTGTGTGCGACGCTTCCAACATTCATGTGCGACGATTTCATCGCTCATGTGCGATACCTTCATCCATGTGCGGTGCAGCTCCTCCTCGCTCGAATGCTTGATCTCGTTCACGAAGTATCGGACGGCTGTGCCGCCCTGACCCTTGATCTCCGATAGATCCAGCCGTTCCTTCTTGTCAGTGTCCATCGGCGCGCCTCCGCGCTCTAGAATCGCGTCCAGGTAACCCGATAGCCACTCATTCTCCGCCATCGCGCCACCACTGATTTTCGTTCAATGCTCAAGATTTCGCCAACAATAACTGGAGAATTTGTGGAACAAGGGACGTCGACCGACGGTGGTAGCGTATTCGCTTACGATCCGGCAAAACTCGAAGAAAAGCGTCAGCCAGAATACGCTGCGTTTCAAGAAATTTCAGGAGCCGACAGAAAGTGGAAGCCCGAAATTCACTCAGAGTAGAGCGAGCGTCGCTCGGAGTCTAAAACGGCGCGAGGAAGAATCTACGCCGTGTTTACGAAAGCACCAGTCGTCAGTGATTTGCTGGAAATTGTAATCGAGAACCGACGATAGGCTGCACGAATGGTGACCAGCTGAAATTATGGAGCGAAAGGGAACGGCTGAACGGATATTCTTGTTGCACAATTTTAGCGCACGGAGAACAAACCAAACATAATCCCGTGAAGCACAAGGCGGGAGAGCCATGCATCGCGCAACGCGAGGGGGAAAAGAGGTGTCGCGGAGGGAATGGTGCGGAGAACCTGGTGCGGGGGAACCCAATAAGTGCGGGGGAACCCAGATAAACATCGCGCTAGCACCGTACTGTATACTAGCGTCAACCACAGGAACTCGAGAAAACGCACTAAACCGCTCAAAACTTTGTTCTCGTTGAATTGCCGTGACTGAACGAGCCCATGGTGGTGGATGGTTGTTGTGTCTCCTAAGGCCTGCGCCGATTGGTCGGGCGGAATACAGCGGGCAAGCCTTCCGCCCAGCCAATGAAAAGGCTGGTCAAGTCGCAACTCTATTCCGCACGCGTCGCACGAGAGTGGAAAGGCGATGAAAACGACGACCTGCTGCACCTGCTTAGCAGTCGCCCATAATCGAACCGTTTATGGGCTACATGCTTGCCATCTGGCTGAATATAACTCGTCCGAATATTCTCCAATTCTCTGGGATCTCCACATAGCCCACAGCCAGCACGGCTTCGAATGTGACAACTCGTTGTAATCAGCGTAGTTAATTCCTTTAGACAAGTGAATAGCATAAACAAAGAAGCAACGTGCTTGTGTAGGAAATGTACCATGCCAAAGATTGTATTCCACCCAGAGAAGGATTCATTAACAAATTCCTTAATTAGCATGTATTGTCACATTCTTTACATTCATGTGAGTACCCCATCCAGTATGTTATGGGGTAAACAAAGCTTTGGATGGAATTATTACCTTACAAAACCCAACTACTACAAAGAAACATCTACATCCCATCCAAACCATCATTGCTACAAGCATTTCAACAAGGATGTCACACCTCTCCGTCCTCAAGTTCATCGTCATCATCCATGATCGCGCGTCTCTTTGCCGGCCGGTGGTGCCACGTCACCGCATCTTCTTCACTCTCTTCACTACTGTCCACCTCTTCCCCCTCCTCCCTCTCTACAGCAGCAGCACCACCAGTGGCAACAGCAGCAATCCTGTGGCCATGAGAAGGGCCTGGAGCTGCAGTAGGGAGCTGAAAAGCTGAAGACGACCCTGCTCCACTCCTCTCCACTCTTCCCCCTACTCTGTAATCCCTCCTCTCCTCTCCTGCTTCATTTCCTGTACTATCACGTATCCCCACTCCTTCCCTACTTCGACCACCTTCTCCCCTCTCCGCTTGCCGACCCTCTTGCCTGTTTCCCCTCCGTTCCACTCCAATCCCTGCTAGCTCACACTCGCGTCCCTCATGTCTCACTTCTCCATGCCCCCGCCTCTCTACCCCCACTGCTGCTCCCACATACTCCCCCGGTTCTTCCTTCACCCTCACATGTGTGCTACTGCCACCTGCCCCGCCCCTGTCAGGCACACCACTGCCACCTGCCATCCCACTTCCCCTCCCAGCTTCCTCTTCTTGCTCTCATCTAAACAGCCCGCTGCCCCAGCTCCTCCCAGCCCACCTCCTCTCCGCACTCTTGCAGCCCCTCCCTCCCCCGCCTCTCCCCTTCCCCTTCCTTCCCCAGCTTGTCCTGACCCCGTTCCCCCACTCGCCTCCCTTCTGCCAACCCTGCTAGGCCCAGCTGCAGCACCATGTGTACCGTCAGCCACTCTTTGGCTCCTGGTAGCACTTGCGCCCACACCCTCTCTCCTCGCATCACCCCCTCTCCTCTCACTCGCTCTCTCACTCTCACACACTCTCTTGCTCGTCGTTCCTTTGCCCTTTGCTGTAGCAGCAGGAGAAGACTTGACAGCAAATGCTTTTTGAGGCGCCTCAGAGCTCGTCCCTTTGCCCTTCGCTTCAGCAGCAGGTGAGGACTTTCGAGCAAAAGCTTTCTGCTTTCCCATCGGTGGCTTGATTCTAAGCCCACTTCCTGCCCCTCCTGCTTCACCTCCTCCTCTTCCTGCTGCTGCAGCAGCCGTTCCTGCTCCTGCTCCTGCTCCTCCTCCTGCTCCTCCTCCTGCTGCTCCCTCTCCTGTTGTTTCTCCTGTCCTTCTTGACACGCCTGCTGCTCCTGCCGTTTCTCCCGTTCCCCCACCAGCAGCAGCTCCTTCTGTGGCCCTTGCTGCAGCACTGCTTCTAGGCGTAACAGGGACACAGTTGCTATCAGCATCCGAAGCAGTACCAGTCACGTTGCGCCCACCAGCATTCAGCGTAGCAGCAGGACCAGCAGCGCCAGCAGCTGCACCAGCAGCACCGGCAGCAGAAGCAGCAGCAGCAGCAGCAGCAGCGCCAGCAGCAGCACCAGGGAAGTTACTGTAGTGTCTGGAGATCCCAAGGGTAACCTCGTTAGGAGCTGGTTCTACATAATTGGGGTCGTTACACTTGCCTCGTATCGGGTCCATGTAGCAGAACCTGTGAGGAAAGTCAACAGGAGTCAACACAAGTCAAAAGATTTCACCGAGTGAGTGTATAGGGTCAACAGCTGCCAGCACTTGCCTCGTATGGGGTCCATGTAGCAAAACCTGGGAATTAAGTCAACAAGAGTCAACAGGGTTGAACCAGAGTCAAGAAGAGAGGATGTATATGGGTCAACGGCTGTCAGCACGTGTCTCGTATCACATGTTATCCATGCAGCAGAACATGGGGGGATAATTAACGAGAGTCAACATGATTCAACAGGAATCAACAGGCTACATTTCAAATGTCACATCCATCACCATTCCTGAAAACCCCTCAGCACCTCACATCCCCCTTCACCACCCGTTAGCACCACTCGCCATCTGCTGCCACTTCTCCCCTTAGCATCCCCCTCATACCAGTTGTCTGGCAGCATCACAAATGTCACATGGGGAGGCACGGCAGCATACCACGGGCCAGCACTTCATGCAGGCCACACCCATTCTCATCCCTTCCATCGCCACCCCTTAGCACCCCTCGCCACCCCTCATACCAGTTCTCTGGCAGCATTTCAGAGGTGACATTGGGCGGCAGAATGTGCCACTGCTGGCACTTGTCGCACTGCACCCAGTCCCTGTGATCCTGTAGCACGGCTCCCTCTGGTATGTTCGTCTTAACGCAACAAAGAGAGTACGGGCGGACAAACACAGAGGAACAGGGAAGAGGAACAGGGGAGAAGGAAAGTCAGGCTGAGGTCGCACTGTCGGCACTTGTCGCACTGCACCCAGTCCCTGTGATCCTGTAGCACGGCTCCCTCTGGTATGTTCGTCTTAACGCAACAAAGAGAGTACGGGCGGACAAACACAGAGGAACAGGGAAGAGGAACAGGGGAGAAGGAAAGTCAGGCTGAGGTCGCACTGTCGGCACTTGTCGCACTGCACCCAGTCCCTGTGATCCTGTAGCACGGCTCCCTCTGGTATGTTCGTCTTAACGCAACAAAGAGAGTACGGGCGGACAAACACAGAGGAACAGGGAAGAGGAACAGGGGAGAAGGAAAGTCAGGCTGAGGTCGCACTGTCGGCACTTGTCGCACTGCACCCAGTCCCTGTGATGCTGTAGCACTGCCCCCTCTGGTATGTTCGCCTGAACACGGGGGAATGGGGGAGGAGAACAGGAGGGAGGGGCGACAAGGAAAATGTGAAAGGGGGAGGGTGGGCAAGAAATCAAACTCCAGCTGCAGCCAACCTGTTTTTGAGACGCCTTCAGAACCGCCCTCAAAGAGGAGTGAAACCAAAGAATCGATTGAAAAGCATCTCACAGTGGGGCGGTCCTTGTCAAAATTGTCCTCCCAGTACTGGTTGAAGGTGATGGACAGGAAATCCTTGAGCCGCAGATACTCCAGCACTCACCACATGGGTGGTTCTTGATACAGGAAATAACACACAGAGTAACTCACAGTGGGGCGGTCTTTGTCGAAGTTGTCCTCCCAGTACTGGTTGAAGGTGGAGGAGAGAAAGTCCTTAAGGTACACTCCAACACCTACAAGTTGTACTTCTTGGAAAAATAAAAAAATACTTACAGTGGGGCGGTCTTTGTCGAAGTTGTCCTCCCAGTACTGGTTGAAGGTGGAGGAGAGAAAGTCCTTAAGCCGCTGATACTCCTCCCCCTCTGCAAATCGCTGCTTGCAGTTCAGCACTCCCAGCTCCCCTGCTGCATCCTGCAGGGCCGAAGATGAAGAGGTGTGTGGAGCGGTTGAAGGGGGTGAAAAGGGAGCTCTTTGCACGGAGCAATCTCTACTTGCAGTTGAGCACGTTTGTGAATGGGAGTGCGGCCAAGGGACAATAATAGGAGCCTGTTACACAGTAATTACAAAGAGAGCAGTAGTGTCCACTACGGCAACCACGCCCTGCCACGTGATAATAAAAAGTGCTTGAGATGTCTACGGCATGCCCGTGAAGGGGAGTGCGGCCAAGAGACAATAAGGGAGCCTGATAAGCAGTACTTACAAAGAGAGCAGATGTGTCCACCACGCCAACCACGCCCAGCCCAGCATGCCCCGAATACTCCATCCTTCCGACCCGCTTATACGCTTCGATGAGCCGCCCGTGCCAGTACAGGAAGAACCCGCACCGCCCACACGCGCTCTCGCACTCAATATATGCTCAGCCCTCATATAACCCTGTCAGATGTCAGCTGTGCCCCACGCAACCTCAACCTTAAAGGGGACGTGCATACCACGCTGATCAGCGGATACGGGGTAGGGTACTCACGAAAAGAGCAGTAGTGCCCACCACGCCTATCACGCCCAGCCCAGCATGCCCCGAATACTCCATCCTTCCGACCCGCTTATACGCTTCGATGAGCCGCCCGTGCCAGTACAGGAAGAACCCGCACCGCCCACACGCCCTCTCCCGTCACTCACACGCATGTGTTAAGCCCTCTGGTAAACCCCTCAGCAGGTGATGGGCACATCAATATGAGCAGTTAATTGCTTGAAACACGGTACTCACAAAGAGGGCAGTAGTGTCGACAACGCCCACCACCCCCAGCCCAGCATCTCCCGAATACTCCATCCTTCCGACCCGCTTGTACGCTTCAATTAACCGCCCGTGCCAGTACAGGAAGAACCCGCACCGCCCACACGCCCTCTCGCCCTCGTCCATGCCCATGCACACTTGCACCGGCTGCCCCATGACTGTCCCAGTGGTGGAGAACGGTTGGGAGAGGTTTTGGGTGATGTCGACGCTGCCCTGCACGGCGCGGCCTTGAACTGTGATGGTGGCGGGGTTGTGGAGAAACATGACTCGCAGGTAGGCGCGTAGGGAGTAGTCTATTGGTACCTGGAAGTCAGGGAAGGGGGAAGGGAAAGGGGATGGGAGATAGAGAGATGGCGAGTGGGTGAGACAGGATGTGTGTGGGAATATCCGCTCCACACTGCCTTGCACTGTGATGGTGGCGGGGTTGTGAAGAAACATGACTCGCAGGTAGGCGCGCAGGGAGTAGTCTATTGGTACCTGGTGGGTAAGCGGGGAGAGAGCGTGAGATAGGGAGAGAGAGAGAGGGAAGAGCCATGGTTGAGTTTGTGGAGACACATGACTCGCAGGTAGGCTCGTAGGGAGTAGTCTACTGGTACCTGGTGGGAAAGGGGGAGAGGGGCAAGGGGAGGCGCAAGTGGGAAAGGAAGGGGAAGGAGTAGGGGAAGGGGGATATTATAATATAGACAGGCACTGGAGACATGATCCACTCCACCCACACTGCCTTGCACTGTGATGGTGGCAGGGTTGTAAAGAAACATGACTCGCAGGTAGGCTCGTAGGGAGTAGTCTACTGGTACCTGGAGTGGGGAAAGGGGGAGGGGGGAGAGGACAAGTGGGAAGAGGGGAAAAGGAATGAATGAGGAGGTGGTGGGGATGGTGGATGGGCGAGAAGAGAGGTGGAAGGGCAGTGGCGGGGTTACGCAGAAACACGACCTGCAGAAGGCTTGTAGGGAAAGCACTTTTGACAATTCTCAAAAGCGATTCCAATATAAAAGTGGGAATACAGTCGTTGGGGTAGCTAGAAGCTACTCACGTCCTGGCAGAGCTGGTTGGGGCGGGAACGGGGCCGCTGGTGCGGATGAGAATGTCATGAGCGATGGTGGCGCAACAGGCAAAAGAAAAACTGGCCCTGCTGCTGAGTCTTCTAACACAGGCAGGCTGGCTAGTAGTAGCAAATACTCACGTCTTGGCAGAGCTGGTTGGGCGGGAGCGGGGCTGTCTGGTGCGGATGAGAATGTGGTGAGTGGTGGTGTCAAAGCAAGCAGGGGAAAGGCTAATCCAGCTGCTGAGTCTCTCACACAGGGGGCCTAGCTAGTAGTAACACGAGTGGGAGGTTAGCTGCTCACGTCTTGGCAGAGCTGGTTGGGGCGTGAGCGCGGGCGCCTGGTGCGGATGGGGATGTCATGTGCGGTGGTGGCGCCGCAGGGAAAAGACGGCCCTGCTGTTGACCGTATCACACTGGGTGGGGTAGCAGGAGGCAATACGGTCGTTGGGGTAGCTAGTCGCGACTCACGTCTTGGCAGAGCTGGTTGGGGCGGGAGCGGGGGCGCCTGGTGCGGATGAGAATGTCATGGGCGTCGTCGTCCCACTCGAGCTCGTACGCTGCATCTGGACGCGACAGGCGCTTGAGGTTGAACACATAGATGCGCGTGCCCGTGGGGGGCGCGTCGCTGCCGCCACTTGCCTGCTCCAACCTGTGAGGGAAGTGAGGCGGAAGAAGCACGGGCGTAGAGCAGAGTGAGGAGTGAGAAGAACAGGTTCAAAGCCGAGAGCTGAACACACAAAACCGTGTGCCGGAAGGCAAAGCGAAGCGCAATACCTGCCAGGTGGACACGGAGTGGAATTTGGGACTCCCTTGCACATAGGGCTCCTATGAGCGGGGCCACGTCCGCTTACTCGCGAAATCTCGAAAGTCACTCACTTGCAAAACTCCTGGTTTATCTTGCGCTCGTCCAGAGGCGAGAAGTCAAAGATTGCTCGCTTGCGCCTCTCCGCCTCCTCCTCTGAATGCACTCCCAAATCCAGCTGCCACTCCACAGTCCCACCTCCCCCTGATACAACCTGTCAGCATAAGTAACCTAGATCACTTACTGGCGAAACTCCTGGTTTATCCTGCGCTCGTCCAGAGGCGAGAAGTAAAAAATCGCTCGTTTCCGCCTCTCCGCCTCCTCCTCTGAATGCACTCCCAAATCCAGCTGCCACTCCACAGTCCCACCACCCAAAGCTGCAGATCCACCTCCCCCTGCAGATCCACCTCCCCCAGATACCACCCGCCGATACGTGACTATGGGGATCTCCAGCTCCTGCCTTCCCTGGTTGAGCGAGCGGGAGAGCAGAGCAATGCTGCGGCTGTCCGTTGACTGGGCGAGAACCAAAGCGTCGTTGCCTATGCGCATGGTGCCCGTCTGGTGGGTTTTCATAGAAGAACGGGGTTGGAAGAGAGAAAACGACGACAGAATAGACAGTGGCGGGTTTTGTGAGGAAGGGATTGGTTGTGAGAGTCACGATGGGGATCTCCAGCTCCTGCCTGCCCTGGTTGAGCGAGCGGGAGAGCAGAGCGATGCTGCAGCTGTCCGTTGACTGCGTCACCACGGGCGTCGTTGCCTATGCGCATGGTGCCCGTCTGGTGGTAAGGTAAGGGAGGTGGATGGGAGGATTAAGGGAAAGAGGGACAGCGAGTCGGAAAAGAGAGGGTAGATGGGGGGAGAGAAAGAGGATTTCAGGCTTGTTAGAATCAGGGGTTGTGAGAGGGGAATCTCCAGCTCCTGCTGGCCCTGGTTGAGCGAGTGAGGTTGCAGCGAGGTGCTGGGGAGGGGGCCTGCCTGCAATGAGTGCAATGCAACGCACCTTAAAGCCAACTCCGAATCTGCCGATGTGGTGGGGATCCTCCTCTGCTGGAATGTCATGACCCAGCAAGAGCAAGGTGAGTACTCAAAGAGTTGGGGGCCTGCCTGCAAAGCAACACAACGCACCTTAAAGCCAGGGTCTCAAGTGACCAAGTGCTTTGCAGTCGATGAAAAATGGGCTTGTCTGGTTGGTTTACAAATTTAAAGGCCAAAGTTCTGACAAATCGAGAGCCCACTTTTCGCCCAAGTGCTTTGCAGTTGCACGGCCAACCCTTACATGAGACCCTGGCTTTAAAGCCAACGCCGAATCTGCCGATGTAGTGCGGGTCCTCCTCTGCGGGAATGTCATGGGCCAGCAACAGCAAGGTGAGTATTGAGTCTACTCAAACAGTTGGGGGGACCGCCTGCAATGCAACGCAATAAAATGCACCTTGAAACCAACACCGAATCTGCCAATGTGGTGCGGGTCCTCCTCCGCGGGAATGTCATGGCCCAGCAACAGCATCTGCACCAACTCGCCGTGATCCATACCCTTGCCATGGCCCTACTAGGCATAGGAGAAGAGCAGCGAGTACTAACGCACCTTAAAGCCAACTCCAAAACGGCCGATGTGGTGGGGGTCCTCCTCTGCGGGAATGTCATGGCCCAGCGACAGCATCTGCACCAACTCGCCGTGGTCCATGCCCGTGCCATCGTCACACACGTGCAGCACTGGCACCGGCTCAGTGGGTGGAGCGGAGGAGGAGGAGGGGCGAGTGAAGGAGGAGGAGGAGGGTAGTGGTGCTGCTGCGGAGGGTGATGCTGCGGGGACTGCTTTTGCTGCTGCGGCTGCCGCGGCTGCTCTTGGGGGGAGCTTGGCCGTGCTGATGAAAATATCCAGCCTGCATGGTGGGCCGTGTATATGCGCGAATCAGTTTCTGTATCAATAACATATGCCACAGAAATTGGGTTAATTTTCTCCCGAACACCGACTCTGCATGTGTGCGTGAGCGTGTGTTTGCATGCGTGTGTGTACACGTGAGCATGTGTGCGTGAATGCGTGTCAAACCCATCCGTACCTGCGTGCCTTGGCGTCCATGGAGATGGAGTTATGTATAGGTCATGTGGTTATCTCTGTTTGCGCTTGACTGTACCCAACGTTCTACATCAATGAAAGGACCATTCGAGTTATGTATCAGCTCCGCCAGTCCCCCAAACACCCACTGCTCGTGTGTGTGCGCCTAGCCACGGTGGCAGTGCGTGTGTGCGCGTGTGTGCGCGTGTGCGTGCATGTGTGCGTGAGTACGTGAGGGTGATAGTGCTGTCCCTACCTGCGTGCTTTGGCGTCCATGGAGTTATTTATGAGCTCCGCCAGCCCCCCAAACACCCACTGCTGGTGCGTGTGCGTCTGTGCCATGATGGGCGCATGTACACGAGTGCCTGTGTGTGTGTGTGCATCATCCCAAACACCCACTGCTCGTGCATCATCCCAGCCTCATCCGTGCCAGGGTCGAATTGTGGCACCCTACCTCTTTGCCTTGGCGTCCATGGAGTTATCTATGAGCTCCGCCAGGCCCCCAAACACCCACTGCTGGTGCGTGTGTGCCAGAGACGCCAGGTACTGCGGATGCATGCCCGGCCCAGGCGCACGCGCAGGGGGAGGGGGAGCGGGAGGGGGAAGGGGAAGGGAAGGCGGAGGGGGAGAGGGGCGCGCAGGCGGAGGGGGCATTGGGGAGTCAGATGGAAGAGGAGGAGGAGGAGGAGTAGGAGCAGGAGCAAGAGCTGTAGGAGGATGAGGAGGAGGAGGTGGAAGCGGAGGAGGGGGTGGAAGCGTGGGAGGAGGAGGAAGTGCACCTTTGAAAGAGAATTCTGGCGTGGGGGTTGCAGATGCTGACGCGGACAATGAAGGTGCTGACGTGGATACTGGGGACGCTGACGTGGTCGATGGAGGAGCTGAGGTGGATACTGGAGCGACAGGGGCATTGGCGGCAGCAGGGGCGGAGGCAGCAGCGCGAGAGGAGAAAGATCCTGCAGCAGTGAGGCCCGGAAGGCTGTGCGCTCGGGGGGAAGCACGGGCGTGTGGAGGAGGAGGAGAAGGAGGGTGGGAAGACCAACCCCTTGGTGAACCAGGAGCACGAGGCGAGCCATGCCCTGCTGCTGCTGCTGTTGGAGTACGAGCGTGCTGCTGCTGCTGCTGCTGCTGCTGCTGCTGCTGCTGCTGATGGTGTGGTGGCAGTGGTGGCGATGGCGGTAGTGCTTCTTGTTGCTGGGGCTGCTGCACAGACGCAGAAGACACCTGCGGTTCTGGCTCAAACCCAGGTGGAACCCGCCCTAGTTGCACCTGCGACCCTGCCCATCCCTGCCCCTGCTGCTGCCCCTGATATCCTTGCCCCTGCTCATTTCTCTGCCCCTGCCCCTGCCCATGTCCCTGTCCTTGCGCGGCTGAATGTGGTGAGCCTGCTCGAGTGGGGGCCAGGTCTGATGCCACGTGCGAGTGTGCCTGCGCAGGTGGCACCTGTCCCAGATGCGCCTGACCGTCGGCCACCTGAGCTTGTGCCTGTCCAGGTGCCACTTGAGAATGCGCCTGTCTCTGGAGCACCTGACTGTGCTGCTGACCAGGTGTTATCTGACCAGGTGCCATCTGACCAGGCGCCGCCGTGTGCGCAGGACGCATCTGCTGCTGCGGCAGCAGCCCCGGGAGCACCGCAGGGAAGCGCGGGGCGTTTTGAGTCAGATCAGAACTAGTGTGTGCAGGTGCTGTGTGCGCAGCAGGTCTCATGTGCTGCTGTGCCAGCAGCCCCGGGAGCACTGCAGGGAAGCGCGGGGCGCGGCGGGGAATGCCAGCTGGCAGCGGCGCGTAGTACGCCCGGGCAGAGGAGAAACCGGTGGGGAGCGGTGCAGAGGCGTGGGCGAAGGCGGGAGGGGGTGGAGGAGGAGAGGTAGAGGTGGTGGTGGATGGGGTGGCGATGGGGAGGAGGCCGAACTGGTACTGGCCTCTCGCTGATGTGATGAGGCCCACCTGATGGGATGGGGAACGGAGGGGAGAGGGACAAACGAGAAGGAAAAAGGGGCTTGGAGAGGAAACGGGTTGGAGGGGCAGTAGAGGCAGCGGAAGGGGCGATGGGGAAGAGGCCGAACTGGTACTGGCCTCGCGCTGATGTGATGAGACCCACCTGATGAGAGGGGACGAGAAGGAGTTGGAGGAAAGAGGGGTGTGGACTTCGGATGAGGAAATGGAAGGGGGAGAGGCTGAGTGAAAAGGGGGGGGAAGAGGGAGGGGGGGGAATGGGGACGGGGGGTTTGAGGGAGATGGGGACGGTCTTGGCTTTTGCACTGTATGCAAGGACCTATCCTTTCACCCTTAGAACACACACATACCCGTCTAACACACCCGCTTACCCTGCCATGCGTCCTGAGCACGTGCACGAGCTGCTCCCAGTTGTTGACGTCCACGGAGGAGGAACTTCGCTCGGGATACACTCGGAAGTGCGGCAGAGAGGGCAGCGATGGCAGCTCCACTCGCGGGGTCAGCTTCGGCAGCAGCACCCACGTCTCGTCGCTGTGAGTAGAAGGGATACATGGACATGTTGAAAATGAATACAAGCACACGGAAACACGTATGTAGGACGCACTGTGTGTGGGGGAGATCGCAGAGAGGGCAGGGAGGGCAGGGAGGGCAGGGAGGGCAGGGAGGGCAGGGAGGGCAGCTCCACTCGCGGGGTGAGCTTGAGCAGCAGCATCCACGTCTCGTCGCTGTGAGGGGGGGGGTACATACAAACGGAAACACGCGTGAAGATGTGCTGTGTGAGTGAGGGAGAGAGGGCATCGAGGGCAGCGATGGCAGCTCCACTCGCAGGGTGAGCTTGAGCAGCAGCACCCGCGTCTCGTCGCTGTGAGTAAAAGGATGTGTATCCAAGCAAATGGAAACACGTATGTAGGATGCACTGTGTGCGGGTGAGATCGCAGAGAGGGCAGGGAGGGCAGGAAGGGCAGCTCCACCCGCGGGGTGAGCTTCGGCAGCAGCACTCATGTCTCGTCGCTGTGTGGTGTGGCACGGATACAAGCACATGACACATATTCGGTACAGATTGCACGCCCAGGGATCGTCTAGCCATGGCAACGGAGTGGCCACGTGTCAGCCAGCCAGGCACTGACCTGATGTCAAGAGGCCACGTGTCAGCCGCGAGGTTGCAGATGATCTTCCCGTCAAAGTTGTAGAGCGGCACTGTGCTCACCACCTCGGGCTCTCCGGGGTCCATGTCTGCTCGAGTGTGATTGAGATGAAGCCGGGGAGAGGCAGGAAGGTGAGCGGAGGAGGGTTGGGATCACTGATCAACACTCGTGGGTTGTAGAGCGGCACTGTGCTCACCACCTCGGGCTCTCCGGGGTCCATGTCTGCTCGTGAGGGCGACGATTGGGGCGAGAGGGAGTAGAGGAAGGAGGTGTTCTGCTCAAACGCGGATATAATACAGGAAAAAAGGAGAGGCATTTTTCTCTCAAACGCCAATCCATTCTGCTGCACTGCTCGCTCCATTCCATTCTCAAGCTCTGGAAACACAACGGTCCGCATGAGTCTCCCTGCCCCTGACAGATCGCCAGCCCTCTGCGTCAGACAGAGGGCCTTTGACTCTAGCTCGACCCACGCTTTCTCCGTTTCGGACGACGACGTAACCACCTCTGCTTCCTAGGCTCGGGCTCTCCATTAGTGCGGCTTGGCAGCTGACAGTGCGTCCGTGCTTGCGTGATCTACGGTCGACAGCGAAAAGCGGGCAGCGGACCAGCGAGTGGGAGAAAAACTGCCTCTGTGCTGGCGGGTCGACAAATGTCCCCGCGAGGTACGGAGAAAACGAGTCTAGACTGAAAACAGAGACGCGACGCTCTTTATTGACTAGGAGACGAGATTAGACCGCGAATCGAGAAGCAACGGTCTTATTAGACTAGTAGACGAGGCTAGACCGCGCTGCCACGATGGGTCAGTGTCGATGCCTCCAAAAATTGCGCTGGAACGGGTAGGGTCGCACGGGTGGGGTCGCACGGGTAGGGTCGCACGGGTGGGGTCGCACGGGTGGGTCGCACGGGTGGGGTCGCACAGGTAGGGCCGCACGGGTGGGTGGGTCGAATGGGTGGGTCGCATGGATGAGTGACGAATTGTGTCGGTGAAGGCAGAGAGCAGAAGACGAGAGATTTTGTCGCATGAGCGTGCGACGAGGATAGGCGACTCGTCCATTGAACTCAGGCGAATTTGACGACAAATCCGAGTCGCCCACTAAGTGTTGCGCGTCCCGTCCCGTTCTTTACGTCGGCAGCGTGCGACTAAAAGCCGCCCGGACGGTAGAGACACTGTGAAGTTAAGCTTGGCTGGCAGCCAAGGCTATGAACGGTGACGCGCCAGTGCACCTACGCCCGCGCATTTCTAAGCGTCGTTGATTTTACGGGATGTCGGGTCGGGCAACCCACGGAGAGCGACGCGGCCCGAGCGACAGAGAAAAGTGTGCGACGGACGGCGGAGGGTATCTGTGCGACGCGACGCACCGTAGATGTCGCCTGCGACGTTGGTAGGATCCATGCAGGCGTAGCGACCTCCTCGAGCGAGCCGCGTCGCGCGAGCTGATTTGTCGAAATGCTGGTGCTGCTGATAAAATGATTCGACCGACACGACGCCGTGAACACTTGACGAAGTGGGTAAACGTTATCGGAGCCGCGGCATGCAGCCCTGCAAGGTAGACGGAAACACGCAGAGGCATGACTAGCCGTTAGACTGCTGCGCTGGTTACGGGATCACACTGTCAGGGTCTGCCCTTGGAAAATGAAGTATCCACCTACTGCCATGGTTGGATTTGGTGTCTGGACGCCCACCAGGTAAGGTGAGGAGCTTTTTGAACCACCACGTCCCCACCATGAGTTGGGTTGGGACATACCCAAATGGTCTTGGACCTTCCCTTCCACTTTTTTCCAAAGTATGTCCTAATTGTCAATGCCCTCTGAGTCACCATTCCAGCTTCCACATGTTGGATGTTTGAAGGTCGTAACCATCTCTGGTCCTCCATTGAAGCGGCATGTTAGTAGACGTGTCGCTCCATCTCCTCGATGAAATTGCTTGTCTATGAGTGCACCTTCCTGCATGGTCCTGTTCTAACCGAGATCTTCACACTTGTAACGCGCTGATCAACTCATCTCAACTGGGTTGTATCCCTGAATAAACTATCTCCATGCTCAACGCCTCGACCGCTCTGCTCAAACAGCCACTAACTTCCCAGTTTGGTGCTAATGACGCTAGTGCTAAAAGAATGTACAGAGGAATGCAAACGGAGGAAAGAAAACTGATACAAGGAGCAACTATGGTACAATGCGCAAGTCTTAAGGTGTTGAGGATGGTTTGGGGGGGTTATGTGGTTGTTTATGTACTTGTAGGACCTAGTGTGTTGGAGAGTGCATTGTGGGTCAGTACAATTTGTGAGGTGCCAAGTGGCGCAAGTTATGTGGCCAATCTCCAACCCTTTTTCAAACATCCAACTTGGTTGCAAATTGTACACCCCAATGTTACATAACAAATCAACATCCAACCTTATATTGAAAATCCATGCTCCTAATAATATGCATTTCCAAGTGCATGTTTGAAACAATCAGGCGGGCTCTCATGAAACTAAATCTGTGCGTGCTCAAGACGCGCTAATAACTAATAGCTGTACAATTGCATTGAGAAAATGTGCTTTCTTGTGTTTGTTACGACAAGTAATCTAGCTAGGAAACAAGTGCTAGTACATGCGATTATATTAGCCAAACTTCTATCATGTTCAAACAGTAACACGGTTATTATTGGTGTTGGGACAGGGACGAGAGCCGTTTGAAATTTAGAGACTATGGAGGAAAATGAGCATCAACCTACGATTCCGTCATCGCCCGGATATAAGGGCGTATTCCTATCCTCCTATCAAGAAAACCTCTTATCAAGCTCACACTGAAAAATCCCCTAAACCCAAAACCTCTCGCTACTTTTACCAGGCAAAAGGTACAATCTTGATAGGAGGTTTCTTGATAGGAGGCCGTAGGAATACGCCCTAAGACATATATGTCTCATCTCGTACACTATAAAAAATGCTTGGGTTATCTTGTATTTGGGGAGGTTTTGGGTGTCTTATAAGTCTTATAAATGGACAAAGAACCGTTTATAGGATACCCCCTCGTTATACAATTGCCCCTAATCCTTACACTAGCTTAGCTCGTACACACAAATAGGTGTCTTATAATAAGGCTAGCCTGTTTATAAGAGACACCCGTATAATAGACAACCCCTGTCTACTATTCAACACTGTCTTATATCCGGGTGATGACGGTTATTGTTGGAGAATGGTATTCAGCGCGCTTCGTCGAGACCAAAACGTGCATTACAAGCAGATACATTTTCATAATATACGAGAACAAAAAGAGTGTGTTTAAGATTTATCTTTTAAGGTTCGTGCTTCACCATTCTATGCTCCTCTTTTCAGGGTTTTTAAACAATCCTGATTCATTCATCTTCTCTCTCTCTCTCTCTCTCTCTCTCTCTCTCTCTCTCTCTCTCTCTCTCTCTCTCTCTCTCTCTCTCTCTCTCTCTCTCTCTCTCTCTCTCTCTCTCTCTAGAGCTACGCGTCGCATGTGCGTGTCTGTTTGCTTACTTGATTGTGTTTGTACTTCAGTTTGTTGGACTAATTGACAAGGTACGGTAGTACCGTATTACGAGACGTCCTAGGTGACTAGCTCCTGACCAAGTCCAAGACGCTCTGGACATCCCGACCCCTTGCACCTATGCTAATGATTGCAGCCATGTATGTAGAGATGGCATATTGGAGGTCGACACGTACATACGTCGACACGGTTCCCCCTCCTTGATCAAACATGGCATGTGGATCTTCAATGTGAAGCGGCCACCTAAAGAATCGTCTGTTTCAAAACGCGCTACGTGACTAGAGGTGTTAGTCAAAAAGAGGGGGTAAATTCCTTCCAAACCTTCTCCCCCACGTCGAAGATAACAACCGCAGGGCAGCGCGACTGCGAACTTCAGGCAACGGACTTCTCGTCCGCCTTTTTCCAATGCATCCTCCAGGAGCGGATCTTTCTCTACCGCCCACCTAACTTTACTGTGACATTTCCTCCAGGGACCCTGTGTAGCCTTCGGAAACCCATTTATAGTCTGCGTCAAGCTCCATATGAGTGGCACACCATAATGCGCATTATTCTGGCTGACCTTCACTTCTTCTCGTCCTCTACTGACATGTCTCTCTCTGTTATTACATTTTGGTCTATGTTGACAGCATAGTCTTCTTCATTGTAGATAGACTTGTACTGGGTCCAATGAAGCTAACGAGACACGCTGTTACAGACCTTGGTGAACTACGCCGCTATCTTGGCATGAAGTTCATTAGGGACAGAGTAGCGCTAACAATCACTCTTCTCCAGTTACGCATGGTGGAGCAAATCCTCTAGCGCTTCGGCCTTCGGTTCTCCTCTGTACAACCCACTCCCCTGCCTGTTGGCCATACTTTCTCTGCCCTTGTCCCTGACGAGTCTCCTGAGCCCAATGGTCAGTATGCAAAGCTGGTGAAGTGCCTCATGTTCGTACTGATCTACACTCGACCACATATCGTATATCCACTTTGCATTCTTCCTTTCTTTGTTGCATCGGCGAGACACCAACTTGCGCACTGGTTTGCTGCTAAGAGAATATTGCACTACCCGACGAATATAACAAGCATGAAACTTGTGCTTGGAGGATGACACCCAGTTCCACTCACAAGGCACACTGACGCGTCGTGGGCAGACGAGATCAAGACTCTGAAGTCCTCTGATAGCTTCTTCTTCAGCATTCGTGTACGAGCGGTCTTTTGGAGGTCCACTTGCTTATCGTGAGTGACATAGTCCTGTTGTAAGGCACATTTCTTCGTTGGCGCTATGGCTACCATGGAGCTACACTGGTTGACGTTTTTTGTCACTGACTTAGGTGAGTCGCGCAGCTTTGCCCTGGTCATATTCGCTAACAACAGGGCCACGACTTCATATGTGTGAGGAGCCTAGATTAGAATGTGGAGCGAAGCACATTCAACTACAGTACTTCATGCTGCGTGGGCTACTGAAGCGCGGCCAAACACGCACAGTACACCTGACCTTTGGGGTCAATACAGCTGATAACTTCACTAAAACTCTCCCGCCTAGTCATCATCAGCGGATCCACAAATAACTTGGCCTTGTCCAAGCGGTATCTCACTTGTTAGGATCTTGATCTCTGTACCTGGTTTGACTGTACTAATTGGTGAACAAATCGCCGTGAGTTGTACCACCTCATGCACCTTGTTATTCTTGTTGACTGGCCTTACCTAAGAGGATGGACTAGAAGTGCCGCCCTAAGCCGTTTCTCTATGTTAGGCGCTGCCCCTTATTTAGCATAAGGGGTGTGTCAACATGCACAGATGCATTTATCATGGATACTACGTAGGTTAGGTTTGGCTGAAGTGTAGAGGGTATAGGTTTTTAGATACCGTACACCACCTTCGAATGCCCTCACCCATTCATAAATAATTTTTGTTCTTGACAAACGTACACCCTTTTATGAGAAGAGACCCCAATAGAAGACATCTATGTCTTCAATTCAACACTGTCTTCTATCCGGGTGTCACATTTGGCACCCTTTACAGATGGACTATGCTCATTATAAAGCAATGGCGTTTGTTGATGATTAACTGATGGTAAAGGTACAACACTGAGCCACAAAGCACTCGGCCAACAATGCAGCATCACATGCATGTATTAGACTGACAGCCACTTCCAGATTACTCCCAATTTCGTACACTAAAGCTCACTAGAAGCTCTACCATAATCATGTTCTGTAACTGTAGCATGTCAGATCAGACGGCTTCAATCAACGGCTGTAAGAGGGAGTTGCCAGAGACGATGTTGGTTGTGATGATGAGGAAGGACGTGATTGCTGAATCCTGCTCAGCACGGGAAAGAGCACAGCACACACGCGCAGTGGGTGCAAAGGAAATGAGGTGCCTCAAAAGCTGTAAGAGGGAGTTGCCAGACACGGTGTTGGTTGTGATGATGAGAAAGGACGTGATTGCTGAATCCTGCTCAGCAACGGGGATAGTGACACACATGTACATGCACGCACGCACACACGCACGCACGCACGCACGCACGCACGCACGCACAGACGCAAGCACGCACGCACGCACGCACGCACAGACGCAAGCACGCACGCACGCACACACGCACACACGCACGCACGCACGCACGCACGCACGCACGCACGCACGCACGCACGCACGCACGCACGCACGCACGCACGCACACACACACACACACACACACACACACACACACAAACCTGCATGGAGAGGAAGCGCAGAGCAGCGATCTCGGCAAAGGTGACGCCTCCCAGGAACACAGCGGCTACCAGGCGAGGCACGGACTCCGACTGTCCCTTGCGCATGGAGGAAGGGGTCCTGTTGGTGACGTCCCTGTGGGTGGTGCCGTCAGGGGACTGAACGGTGGGCGGTGGGAGAGAGGAAAAGAAAGGACAGGCTTGTGCATCGTGTGTGGTGTGTCTTTGAAAAGACTCAGGAACAAGCAGCCACTAGTCGATTCAAAAGTCACTTTGAAACTCGCATTGCAACCTCATGGTTTGATTTGTGAGGCGGCTTATGGGTCGACTCAAAAGCCACCTCGAAACTCGCATTGCAACCTCATGGTTTTCACTTAATTTATCACCATTGCATGGATTGGCATATCCTACTCACTGTTTGGATGATGAGTCTTCTGTAGAATGTGTGCACTGAGGCACTAGTACCTTACTGCTGTCTTCTGTAGCTGGTCGCGTCACGGCTTGTTTTGCAGGTCAAACGTTTGTTGTGCCAGAAATGTGGGCAATAAAAGCACGATCTCTTTTTCTTTTTCTTTTTCTTTCCCAACAGCCATGCTCCCAAAAAAAAAAAAAAAACTCACAGTTTTTTCGGAACAACTGTCGAGTACATTATTGCTGAAAGAAACTCTGAAACAACTCGTGCTTTAGGGAAGGGACATGTTTTGGAGGTGCCTCCAAGCTTACCTGCTCCCACTCAAAAGTTGGTCCTGTGGCAGTCTTTGTCACTTCGTCCATTGCTCTCCTGGAATGAACAAAGAACCATTACGGAGGAGAGGCAAGAGATAAAACAAATCTGGGACTAAAGAAAATATGGTAGCATCAATGAAGAAGGAAATACGAAACGATAGAATCAATGCGCACTGTACCAGCCTCACTGTATCAGTACAGTGACTCACTTTTAAATCGCCCCAAAAGTCGTCTCACTGTATCAATAAGAACTGTACGGTGACTCACCAGCCTCCTGGTTGGATGACCTGTTGCAGGAGGCGCACACTTAGAGGGGCATAGCCGGAGAACGTGAAAGCAATGTCCCTGGGGCTGGATACAGGCACAAGAGAAGAGATGGACGTGGAGGGATGTGGAGGGATGTGGAGGGATGTGGAGGGATGTTGCATCTGAAGCTAGTTGACTTCTGTGGTGACACAGAAGTCAGGGACATAGCCAGAGAACGTGAAAGCAATGTCCCTGGGACTGGATGGGGGTCACAGGAGAGGGTAGAGGTAGAAACAGGAGTGAGTGAGAAATTGAGAGGGCGAGAGCACGGGACTAGGAGAAGGATAGGGTCACCCTTGCTTCCTTATCATCAGCATTACCAACGCTATCACCATCACCATCACCATCACCATCGCCAACATCACTATCACACACCACCCCACACCACCCCGCAGCACTGCAATGTCTCACTAGGCTTCATAATCGTCATCCACTATAAGCTTCAGGCTTCGCTACATTGCAACCCACCACCACTCCCTCTCTCCCACCTGACATCACCATCACCATCATCACTATCACACACCACCACACACCACCCCTCGCCACCGCTCTGTCTCACTTGGCATCGTCATCGTCATCGACTATCAGCCTCAGGCTTCGCTTCACTGCAGCCCATGTGCTGCGACCCTCCTGCACGCACAGCACAACAAGAAAACTAGTGGAAACTTATGAGTTGACTTTTGAGTCGACTCAGAAGTCAAATTTCCTGTACGCACAACATGGGGTCCCATGTGGTTGCTATGGCGCCTTGAAACTCATGCTATAGCATAGAATGTCCTGTCGGCATGAGTTTCAAGACGCTTCAAAAATCCATGTTGATGCTACTTTTAAGAATTCTCAAAAGTAATTCCACAAGAGAAGAGCACCATGAGGTTATAGTGATTCAAAACCCTGCCTGCATGGTACCCACCTGGCGTTTGATCAAGCCAGCGCGTTCAAAATTGTCAAGAGAAAAGACGTGAAGGAAGCCGTAGGCCTGCAGGAACTCGCGCCTGATAGGTGTGGTGTGATGGGTGGGATGGCGTGGGATGGGATTGGACGGGATGGAATGCAATGGGGTGTTAACGTGTGAGTGCAAGCAGCAAGGCATATTCGTGGAGAGGAAAGACATGGAAAAAGCCGCAGCCCGGAGTTACTCTCGCCTGCAAAGGTGTGGCAAGGCAGTTATGGCAAGGCAATGCGACCATGCTGTGACCCAAGAGGGTGGTGGTGGTTGTTAGCGTGCGGAAGAAGGAGGTTCTAAACAGTAGCACAGAAGCTCGCGCACAGAAGCTCGCACTACGGTGTTACAACTCAGATTCCACACCTGAGATGCACGGCGCACCTGAGGTGGTCGAAGGGCGCCTTGGGAATACCACCATTGGTGAGGGAGAGAGAAGGCAGAGGAGATGGAGCACCGTGCTTTGACGTGCCTCAAAAGGTGCCTAAATACTAGTCTCACATTGTACCTGAGGTGGTCGAAGCGGGCCTTGGGAATACCGCCGTTGGTGAGCGAGACAAGGGAGAGCAGACGCAGCACCGTGCTCATGGGATGTCCCTGTGACATGGCGTCCTCTATGTATTCACACGCCCTGCACTCACACATTCAAACACGTTCAGAGACATGAAGAGAAACAAGCGCATTTTCACGAATGTAATTAGAATCCCTGTAGCTGTCTCTGATGGCGTCCCCTATGCACTTGCTGCCCTGCAGTCACACAGGTGGTCTCCAGAATGGCATGCTTCGTGGAGATGGGAGCGCCAAAGGCCGACCGATTGGTTTTTGAACATGATTCTTACGCTTGAAGCAAAGAAAATTAGTAAAAGCATGAGCCATCCACGCACATACGAGTCTGTAGACCATGCTTCCAGAATGGCCTGCTCCGTGGAGATGAGATGAGAGCGCCAAAGGCTGGCCGGTTGGTCTTCAAACATGAGCCTCACGCTCAAAGAAGAATAGTAAAAGCAGTTAAAGCATGAGCCATCAACGCAGGTACGTGTCTATTGACTGTTCCTCCGGAATGAATCGCTCCGTGGAGATGAGAACTACCATGTGTTGCGTTGAAAGATACCACAGCAGCACACAGGGCACAGGGCACAGGGCACAGGGCACTCATTGGCGCACGTACGAGTCGATGGAGCGGGCTTCCAGAATGGCTTGCTCCATGGAGATGAGAGCGCCAAAGGCAGGTTGGTCGCTCTTCAAACATGATTCTCAAAGCAAAGAGAAACAGTAAAAGCACGGGCCATCCACGCACGTACGAGTCGATAGACCGTGCCTCTAGGATGGCCTGCTCCGTGGAAATGAGATGAGAGCTACCATGTGTTGTGTTGATAGCATACCACAGCAGCACAGGGCACGGCACAGGGCACAGGGCACTCATTGGCGCACGTACGAGTCGATTGACCGTGCCTCTAGGATGGCCTGCTCCGTGGAAATGAGAGCGCCAAAGGCCGGCCTATTGGTGACCTGCGATATGTGACCCGCTAGGTTGGTGTGGCGCTGAGAAGAGGGGGGGGGGGGGGGGGGGGGGGGGGGGGAGGGATTGGGGGGGGAAATGGGAGATGGGAAGAAGGTGACAGGGAAGGAGAAAAAGGGTAAGCAAGAGAGGAAGGAAGAAACCGAGCTTGATAGAGAAACTTTGCATACATTCTGGAAGGTGTCGTGGACAATACCTCGCACACGGACTTGGCGAACAATGACTTTTCTACTGTAGAGTAGCAAGTGCTCTAAGAAACGACGAATCATCTCACTGTAAGCTCTGGCAGCACGTTGAGTTTCTTGACAAAGTCCTTGAGCTCTGATACCGTCTGCGAGCAACACGAGGAGCAAGTGCATCATGTGGTGAGACGAGAAATAAGTAATGAAAAGGGAAAAGGGGAGAACAGCATTTCTTGACAAAGCTCTTCAGCTCTCACACTGTTCGATTGCGACAGGTTTTTGAGACGTCCCATCTTAAAGCTGCAACAGGTGAAGCAGATCATCCTCACCTTCTCTCCACCACCACCAGAGCCAGCAGCAGAGGCAGCTCCACTGAGCTCCCTGGTCATCCGGGTCACCCAGTGCAGCGAAATGCAGTGGCGATGCGTCTCTCTGTGGCCTTGGAAACCTCCAGAACCAGCGGCAGCAGCACAAACGGATCATCATCATCATCACCACCTCACCTGCTCTCCACCGCCAGAGCCAGCAGCAGAGGCGGCTCCCTGGTCTCCCCGTGCAGCAGCGGAGTGCAGTGGCGATGCATCTCTTTGCACCCTCCATAGCCAGCAGTAATTGCAGCAGTAGCGCTGTCGACGGAAGGGGCGGCGGAAACTGCAGCAGCAGAGCCAGCAGCAGCAACAGAGCATAATCATCGACTCACCTGTTCTCCACCGCCAGAACCACCAGCAGAGGCGGCTCCTTGGTCTCCCGGTGCGGCAGCAGAGGAGCGCAGTGGCGATGCGTCTCTCTGCGGCCTCCAGACACAATCACCAGCAGCAAGAGCATCGGTTGTGGTGGAGGCAGCAGCAGCGACGCGACCATCATCATCATTATTAACTCACCTGCTCGCCACCAGAGCCAGCAGCAGAGGCAGCTCCCTGGTCACCAGGCACAGCAGAGCACAGTGGCGATGCGTCTCTCTGAGGGCGCTGCCTGAGGTTGGCATACTCTGACTTCATCTCCACTGCCTTGGCACGCAGCAGCTGAGGGGAGGCAGGCAAGGGGGAACAGGGGAATGCAAATGCACACTTGTCTCTTCATCAGATCTCTGCGGCTGCTGCTGAGGTTAGCATACTTGAATTCGTCTCCACTGCCTTGGCTCGCAGCAGCTGAGAGGGAGGCAGAGGGGGCGGAGGGGGCAGAGGCAGCTGAGGGGCACAAAGAGAACAGGTTTTTGCACTCCTTAGGTTGAAATGTCCTTCAATCATCTCTCTGTGGTCACTGCCTCAGGTTGGCATACTCTGACTTCACCTCCACTGCCTTGGCTCGCAGCAGCTGAGGGGAGGCAGCAGGGAGGGGGGGAAGGGCGAGCAGAAGGAGCAGATAGAAGCACTGGATAATTCCATTCTGCAAACGTCTCTATGTGGTCACTGCATCAGGTTGGCATACTCTGACTTCGTCTCCACTGCCTTGGCTCGCAGCAGCTGAGGAGGGGAGGAGAGAGAGCAGAGGGGTGAGTGATGTGATGTGATGTGATGTGATGAGATGTGATGGGATGAGATGGGATGCGATGCGATGCGATGTGATGTGATGGGATGCGACGGGATTTGACGTGGTGTGATTTAACGCGACGCAAAATATGTGAACTTATATTGAAGCACCTCACCTCTGCTGCTGATCCAAAGTTGCGCCCTCTGAGGTCCTGAAACAGCTTGTCACTGCAAAGAGACGGGTGAGGTGAGGAGGGCGGGGAGGGCAAGATGAAGCGTGAAAGGGTTAAGAACTTGCTGAGAGAGTTTCAAGCAGACTCACAAGGGCACAGAAGGGGCTGCACACAAAGTGAATGCGTGCGTTCCCAAAGCTCATTTTTCCAAAATATTCATGCACTCACATACAGGATGCTTTCTCAACCTGCCGCTCACTATTCTATCCCGCAGTCGGATGGATTTGTTGAGCAAACCCTCATGTTATGTTCGCCTATTCTGCACTCTCTACATTCAATCCATAACCCCTTGCTCCGTCTCTCATGGACAAAGAAAAATCCACTTTGATATCGCTTGCGTTGGTTCTTAAGAAATCTCAATACTAGACTTACTAGACTTTGCTTGCCCTCACTTGGAGTTGAGAGGCACTTTAATCTTCCTGGCATTCGATGTCACTCCCATGACTGCAGCATAGGCCTTCTGTGTTGAGACTAACAATCACACTCGTCCACTCGTTTCACTCGCATATAGCGAACCCTTGGTCATCAGGCTCCCCCTCTCACTTGGAGTTGAGAGGCACTTTAATCTTCCTGGCATTGGACGTCACACCCATGACTGTCGGATCCACCTCCACTGCTCCATTGGTTATGTGCAGGAGCTGCGTGGGTGAAAGAGTGGGGAACGAGAAAGCGAACATTAGACAGTAGAGGAAAGCATTGCAAGCAGAACATGTGCAAAGAAGCAACTCCTCCCATGACTGCCGGGTCCACCTCCACTGCTCCGTTCGTTATGTGCAGCAGCTGGGTGGAAGGAACAGGAGAGGGGAGGGAGAAAATATTGAAGCAAAGAAAAGGAAAGCATCGCAGGCAGAAGAGGCGCATCAGAGAGGCTTCTCCCTCTCCCATGACTGCAGGGTCCACCTCCACTGCTCCATTCGTTATGTGCAGCAGCTGGGTTTGAAGGGGTGGGGAAGGAAAGAGCGAACATTGGAGGGCAGAGGAAAGCATTGCAGGCATAGAAGACACAAAGACATCACTCAACGGATGCTGACCTCATCAAGCAGCCCTTCGTATGTGAGCTGAGTGCATGCTGGCGTCACCATGTCCACCTGTCGGTCTATCAGCACCATCATGTCCACGCTTGGATGCTCCACCTGCAACCACCGCACCACACCACAATCACACAACACCACACCACATCACACCACAGCATTCCACACCACGCCACTCCACACCGCACCACACCACAACACATTTCACGTCCCAGTAGGTTGATCGGCTCGCTGGGCTGAACTGAACCAAACCAAGAAACAAACTCAAGGCAAGTCAAAAACCAGGTCAAGCGAGTACCAGAAACTGCACAGACAAGCTTCATAGACTTTCTAGGCCAAGATGCCTTTTGATTCACTTCACGTCCTACCAGCGTCATATGTGACTTCTGCTCCTTCATGAGTTGACTCATTGCCTGTGCCACTAGCTGCACTGCCATGCCCTTACCCTTCAGCACCGGAGGCACTCCAAACACGGACTGCAGGGCATGAGGCGACACTCATAAAGCATGCAGCAGGCCTACAGCATGCCTACCGGCAACACGTGAGACTTCTGTTCCTTCATGAGTTGACTCATGGCCTGCGCCACTCGCCGTGCTGCCACGCCCTTACCCTTCAACACTGGAGGCACGCCAAACACGGACTGCAGGGCGTGAGGCTGCACTCATAGGGCATGAATACCAGTGCAGGCCTACCTACCGGCAGAACATGTGACTTCTGTTCCTTCATGAGTTGACTCATTGCCTGTGCCACTCGCTGCGCTGCCACGCCCTTGCCTTTCAGCACTGGAGGCACGCCAAACACGGACTGCAGGGCGTTGGAGACAGGGCGAGGAAAATGACTTGGAATCAGTAGAATGAAAAGCAGTGATCAATCAAGAGAAGCACAGGAATCAAGCGAGAGGCATCGGGAATGCCAGGTGATGGCTGGCTGGCAAGCCATCATTTGCCAAGCGATAGCACATCAGTTGGCATCCCGGCCATGAATGTAGGAGTTACCATCAATGGCTGAGATCGCCCTGTTCAGCAGCTGAGATCGTCACCTGGAAATTACCTGGAAATTAGCAAGCACACGCGCCACTTGCAACGTGGAGGTGGGGTCTGAGTCCACGTGTACGTCCTGGATTGGATTGGTCAGAGGGGAGGGAAGGGGGGTGGGAGGGGAGAGAGATGGAAAGGTGAGAGCAGGGTCAAGCAGCGGTGGGGTCTGAGTCCTCGGCACTTCCTGAGTTCAATTGGATTGGTGAAGAGCAGAAGGGGCAGGGGGGAAGTGGGGAGGTGAAGTGGTGAGAGAAGGGTAACGCAGTGGTGTGGTTTGAGTGCACGTGCGCGTCCTGAATTGGATTGGTGCAGTTCAGAATCACCTCACCTTATAACGGGTGCAGGAATCACCTTATAGAGAGTATGGAGGTCCAGTGCGAGGAGGTCATGATCCACAGGGATCATCTCGAGGGGATACTCGCCCACTGCCACCCGCGGGTCGCCCCTACAGGATCGGCTTATAAAGGGTACACGAATCACCTTATAAAGGGTATGGAGGTCCAGCGCGAGCAGGTCATGGTCAACAGGGATCATCTCGAGGGGATACTCGCCCACTGCCACCCTCGGGTCGCCCCCCAGCCCCTCCTGCTCCAGAATCACCTTATAACGGGTACATGAAATACCTTATAAAGGGTATGGATGTCGAGTGCGAGGAGGTCATGGTCCATGGGGATCATCTCGAGGGGATACTCTCCCACTGCCACCCGCGGGTCTCCCACCAGCCCCTCCTGCTCCAGAATCTGCAACACATGTGTGGTGTGGGGTGTGGCGCGAAAATTTTGAAGCGCATCACCAACAGTAGAAGTGGGTCAGAACAATGTTACTTTTGAGTCGACTCAAAGGCCGTCCACCAGCCCCCTCCTGCTCCAGAATCTGCAGTAATTTCGCGGGGCGAAACGAAGCAGGTCAGTACAGACACACTCTTGAGTCACCTCGTATAGTTAGGTGCATGTACAGACACGCATGTACATAAAAGGGCGTGTTGAACCAATCACACACACACACACACACACACACACACACATACACATACACACACCCTTCCTCTCTCCCTCCAGACTACGTTTACTCCTTGTCCAACTCAGTTCAGGCACGTACCCTGTTGCATATCGCATCACATCTGGGAATGAAGCGGAGTGAATAGCTGCGGGTGATGCCCTCGTCCTCATCTGCTCGCACCTGGTGGGATTGATGAGATTTGAAGGAGATACAGGACAGGTGGATGGGAGAGAGGCACGCAAGGGTGGAAGGGGCAGGGCGAGTGCGGTACCAACAGGTACGGATAGAACGCGGTAGCATACAAAGTGGTGGTACCTCGCACCTGGTGTGTGATCCAGCGAATAAGAAGCGGATTGGGGCGCAACAGGTAGAGGACGGTGGAGCACTGTGATTGGATGGGTTCGGCGCTGATGTGGAACAGATTCTCCACTCCGTGTTCCTGTAACGAGGGGACAGTAACGAGGGGACAGTAAGGAGGAGAGTGAAGGCTTTTGAGACGCCTCAAAAGACGCTGATGTGGAACAGATTCTCCATTCCGTGTTCCTGTAACGAGGGGAAGAACTGCAAAGGGAGGAGGAGATTTTTTAGTCGTTGATTTGGAACAGATTCTCGACTCCGTGTTCCTGTAACGAGGGGGCATACGGAGAACGGGGATGAAGATGAGTGGGCGGGATGGATTGGGGGAATGAAGTGGGGAAGTGGAGTGTGGGGTTGCATGGGGGAAATTAAGTGACAGAGCGGAGTGAGGGAAACGGACTGAAAAAATTTAGATGAGGGAGTGGAGTGGAGTGGAGTGGAGTGGAGTGGAGTGGGAGGCCAAGCTTGACTGACTGGGCTTATGGAATGAAGAGGGAGTGGAATGACCTTGAGGAGAGAGATGGGAGCGATGAAGGCGAGGGGGCCGCTGATACACGCATCCAGCACTAGAGCCTTACCGCCTGGCACCTGGTGGGATGCAGTGGGATGGGATGGGATGGGATGGGATGGGATGAGATGGGATGGGATGGGATGGGATGGGGTGGGATATTGGACTGCTTAGATAAAAGGTGTGGTGCAAAACTGAAGGGGGGTAGGAGTGGTCACTCATAAAAGATGGGACGGCTGGAACTGGTAGTGGTAGGAATGAAGATCAGCGAGTCAAACCAGTCAACGCAGGTCAACTCACAGAGTCAAGGGCGTCAACGAGGCGTTGACTGGCGTGTGCTCTGCTCGCAAGAGGAACACAGGGGGGAGGGTGGGGTTGGGAGGGCGGAGGAGTGGGAAGGTAAGGGAGGGCCATAGAGGGAAGGTAAGGGAGCGTCATAGAGGGAAGGGTATGGGAGGGCCATAGGGAGAAGGCTGCAGACAGGGTGGTAGGGGATGGGGGTGGGTGTGGGGGAGACTGGAGAAAAGGGCGCAGACAGACAGGTTGTAGGAACTGAGGATGGTAGTACCTTGAGGGACGGGGTACCTGAGAGGGGAGCGGATGGTACCTTAAACTGAAGCAGTTGTTAACGCATTACCTGAAGGGAGGGCGCAGTGAGAGACAGCACCTGCGGAAACCAGCACCTGAGGGAGGCAGTACCACAAGGAGGCATTACGTGAGGGAGGCACTACCCGAAGGGGGCATTACCCGAGGGAGGCAGTATCTGAGGGAGGTCGTACCCGAGATAGCCAGTACACGAGGCCGAGGGAGGCCGTACCTGAGGGAGGCGAGATCTATAAGGGAGTTATCGAGCGGAACCATCTGCGCCATGGCTTGGCTCCTTCCTCCCCTTCTCTCCCTCGTTGCCTCTCAAGGCGAGCGAGGCGAGATCTCACCCCGCGTTGCCTCTTGAGCCAATGTAAGCATCTCTTCTTTCCTTGTCGTGTTTTCTTCCTAGTCGACTAAAGAAAGAGCCGTTCTAGATTTGCTTTGCTCCGTCCTCTTGTCGCAGCAAGCCGACCATGAACCACGAAGCCCACCGCGCCTGCTTCACAGTCTCTTGCTCTCGTGCCGCGCCAAACCGATCTCCGCCGTTAAAAAAGGCGCGTTACAGAAACGGTCTGTTCCTGCGGAATGCCTACGTCCTGCCTCCGTGCAATAGCCAACACTCAAGAAGCCTTGACACTGAAAGAAACGCGACGATTTCGTACTCGCTATTGCCGATCCAATATAATGAAGAAGAACGTAGTGGTGTGAAAGGTTGATATGGGCAAGTGCACATCACTCTATAGATCAATAACCCTAAGCTGGCCAAAACGTGAGGCAAGTGTCCACTGACCAAAGCGAATAATGTTTAACCTTAATATTCCTGGTTCACAATCTACGCTCAGCAACAGCCCCACTTTCCATGCTGACAATCAATAGCTATTACTTGTTTTATTACTCTAAACAATTGTTGCCATGCCACATATTTTACTGTAAGGAGCTCACAGCCTCTCAAAAGCAGCCGAATAATGCGCGTTCACTGTAACGGGGATTGAGAAACTTGAAACGAACTTCGGGTTTAAATCCTAGAATTGCTTGTCAGAAAATCGTGGTTCTGCCTTTTGGGGTCGTCAACTTCGTGTCAACTACGGACGCAGAAGTCGTAGACCCGGAAAGAATGCGCCCTTACCCGAATCAGCTCCTACGGCTAGCCAAAACCAGCCTAAATCTACGGCACACGCATCTGCCATTTTGCGCGTTCACAGTGAAGAAAAAACCGAATTATGGCGTTGGCGAGCCACCATTTGCGTAAAGCAGCCAATCAGTTGCCGTTCTGCGCGTTTGCGAGCTCCTTTTGTGTACTTTTTTTATGACGCTGGCGAGCGCGTACTTGCATGCATCAGCTAATCAGTCGACATTTCGCGCATTTTCGTGCCAAACCAGAAATATGGCGCTGCCAGCCCGCACTTCCTCTCTCCCGCACAGCAGCCGTCTTTCGAACAATAATGCAGTTTACAGTCCCAGAAGTTCACGACTATCTGACAAATTCCATGCAATAGTATAACCCAGCTGGGTAGAGTGAACCCTAATTGCGTACGAGAGTGATCCGCTTCTCAGATAGCCTCCTGACTCCATTCTATCTTACCACTCATCCCAGCCCAATATCACGAACGACCAATCATGGATCGGGGCATCGCTAGTCACTCTAATCTCGCCATGCTTGCCGTCGCAGCAGTCGCCGTGGTCGTCGCTTCTCTCCTCCCCGCGATTCCGTCCGCTTCTGCTGCGACAACTCCGTCCCTTGGCGGCTGGACAACCGTGAAAAACGCGGCGACGAGTCAGTACGTGGAGGACTTGGCCAGCTTCGCCGTCGACGAGCATAACAAGAAAGAGGTGCGAAGTAGAGAACTCTGGCCATCATTGCTGTCGAGTCGACTTAACACACACAATGGTTCCGCCGTGAAAGACGTGGCAACGAATAAAGGGTGTGGAGGATTTAGCCAGCTTCGCGGTCGACAAGCACAACAAGAAAGAGGTACCGAGTTTTGAGACGAATCTGTCTTTGGAGGTGCCATAGTCGACCTAGAAAAAGAAGCCTCAGAACCAACTGACTTTTGAGGTGCCTCATAAGTTCTCCCCTCCCATCCCTTCTTCATCCCACCCATCCCGCCAGCTCTCTTCCACTCTTCCAAGCTGAAGATCCTCTTGGTCAAGTTTCGCCTTCTTGCGACCTCAACGATTCGCCTTCTGAGGCGCCTCTAAATTCTGAGGCGACATTTGAGCCGCCTCAAAATATACTTTCGGTCAAAACTCGCCTTCTTAACAACGTCAATGGTTCGCCACAAGCCTCAATTACTCTCCCACCTCACCCCCATTTCACTGTGCCAGGACACGACCCTCATGTTTCCCTCGGTCTAATCTCGCCTTGTTTTAATGTCCCGCCATGGCTCGTTCTAGCGAACCCTCACTTACCTAACCTAAATGTAAGCCTCAAGTACTTAACTCTGCTCCCCTCCTCTCCCAACTCCCCACCCACGCCACCCCCCCCCCAGAACGCGAGCCTCGGATTCATCCCCATCGTCTTTTGAGTTGCCTTAGAAGTGCGAAGAGCCAAGTGGTCGCCTTGTTACTATGGCCTGTGACATGGCTCAAGTGCTTGCCTTCCTTCCTCACTCCTTCCTTACCCACCCCTTCCTTTCCCCCACCCCACCCCGCCAGGGCACGCGCCTTAAGTTCATCTAGGTCTTGAGTGCGAAGAGCCAGGTGGTTAAAGGCACCAAGTGGAGCATCTCCAGCCTCTTCCCTTCCTTCCCCACCCACCCCACTCCACCCCACCCCACCCCGACAGGGCACGCACCTCAAGTTCGTCTGGGTCGTGAGTGCCAAGAGCCAGGTGGTTGCCGCACCAAGTGGAGCATCTCCAGCCTCTTCCCTTCCTTCCCCACCCACCCCACTCCACCCCACCCCACCCCGCCAGGGCACGCACCTCAAGTTTGTCTGGGTCGTGAGTGCGAAGAGCCAGGTGGTTGCCGGCACCAGCTGGAGCATCACTCTGCAAGCCGTCGCTGCTCGCTCCTTGGGACGCCGCCACTCCGTTGCACCCTTGACCACCTACGTGGCGGAGGTTTATGAGAAACCGTTGCCACCGGAAGAGCAGCCTGTGAGCAATGAGCAGCCCTTCGTGGATCAGCCGGTGTCGACGGACTTTTACGAGCTGGTCTCCTTTACCAAGATTAAATGACCGGCTTGAACGTGCGACTTGTGAGGTGTCTTGGAAGACCGCGAGCTTTCACGAGCTGCCCCCTTGGCAAGGAGCCAGGGGAGTATTGAAGCGAGGCAAGGGAACACAGTGGGCTATATTCGAAGTTAAGGCCTCAGTGGTTGTAGAAGGTGCGAAATTACAGAGCACCGCTGTTGTTTAAGCTATGATTTATAGAATCGAGTGAGCAGTGCTCTTGCTTCTCATGTAAAAAGTGGGTGAGCTGGGAAAAGGTCGTTCTGGTAATTGCTCTTGTGCTGATGTGTGCTTCATCTTGTGTGGGCTGTTATGGTCTGGTTGTTGTTTACCTTTTTCTGTGTGAGCCGAGGTGTGTGTCCCCTCTGCTTAGCCCACTTAGGGTCGATGGTTTTAGAACACGTAATTTTTTTTTCTCTCGTTTTTTTCGTGTCAGTGCTGATCACATTGCCATTCATTTGCCAATATAGTATATTCATCTCTCGCTTGCTCGGTTACATCTATTACGAAGCTGGACAATCCATGGGGCAGGTCTTTTCTTAGGAGACCAAACGAATGATATTGCCAAACATTATCATTACTTCAACTGGCTCACAATCTGCACTCAGCAGCGACCCCGTTTTCCACAATGAATGTTATTTTCCTATTTGTACTATAAAATGTCTCTGTCAAACCACATTGGTTTACTCGAACCAGGCAGACGGTAACGAGCCCACAATCTCCGCTCCGAACCACGTATGGCTGAACGAATTATTGCCCCCCCCCACATAATTTGTAGGGAGGGTTCTATCTTCGCATTCAACTTCGGAATTTCATTTCAAGGACTCAGGCTTCCCAGTAAAGAATGGCAGATTGGCCTTTGCGCCGAGTGACTTCGTGTCTAACAGATACCGATATCTGATACGCAGAGTGGGGCCTATCTCGGACCCCATCACAGAACTCCTATCAGTACCAGCCGCATTTTGCGGGGTCCACGGGCAAAACTATGGAGTAGATTTGGCGCCCGCAGTAACCCATCTGCCACATTGCGCGTTCATAGCCAAACTTGAAACTACAATTATAGCAACCCCCGTAGCCTATCATCTGCCGCTTTGCGCGTTCACAATCAATCTAAAGTAGACGTATGGCACTGGCAAGCCAGCATTTGCACATGGTAGCCAATCAGTTGCCGCTTTGCGCGTTCACAATCTCGTTTCATCAAAGTTTCTATGGCAGGCGAGCGGGAAAATCGCACGCATCACCCAAGCAGTCATCGTTATGCCGCGTTCTCAACTCAACCCTGAATGTTGGCGCCAGTGAACCATGGCCCCGGCCATGTTCCGACCAATAATTCAATTCGCAGTCAATCGAGAACCACCGCGAGAATTCACAACTACCTGGCAGATATGAGGCAGTATATTTCACAAAGAGCTAACGAGTGGGAAGAGTGAGGCCTAATAGTGTACGAGAACATTTATTCGCTTCTAAGTCTCCTGACTCCAATCGATCTTATCACTAATCCTAACCCGGTATCGCTGCGAGAAACGACCAATCATGGGTCGGCCCGTCGTCAGTCACGCTAATCTCGCCATGCTTGCCGTTGCAACAGTCGCTTTCGTCGTCGTTTCTCTCCTCTCCGCGATTCCGTCCGCCGCGGCGGCAACTCCGCGCACAGGCGGCTGGTCTACCGTGAAAAACGCGGCGTCGGATCAGCACGTGGCGGATCTGGCCAGCTTCGCCGTCGACGCGTACAACAAGAAACAGGTACCTAGAGAAGTGTTCTTTTCACCATTATTGCTTTCGATGCTGTTGACTAAGAATCAACTCTTTTTAGTCTGGTGAAATAACTCCTGAAAGACGTGGCGACGGATAAGGAGTTGACCACCCTTTGGAGTCATGCGGCGAGTAGAAGGTCCTTTCAGTCAGAAGCTCGTTACAACGTCAATGGCCCGCCACAAGCCTCAAATACTCTCCCTCCCTTCTCCCTCCGCACTTCTGAGGCGCCTAAAAACTTTTGAGGCGCCTCAAAATCCGCCACAAGCCTCAAGTACTCTCCCTCCCCCCTCTCCCCCCGCATCCCACCGGCCACGACACAACGCTCAGGCTTCTCTCAGTCAAAACTCGCCTTGTTACAATGTCTCGCGATGACTTGTTCTAGCGAATCCTCGCTTACCTAAACGTAAGCGTCTACTACTTACCAGTACCTCCGCTCCCCACCCCTCCCCACCGCATCCCCACCCCATCCCGCCACTTGAACCTCAGGTTCGTCTCGGTCGTGAATGCAAAGATCCCGGTGGCTGCCTTGTTACAATGGCCAGTGACAAAGATTTGATTTTTCTCCTTCCTTCTCCACCCCTACCCACTCCAATTGCCTCACCCTACCCCACCCGACCACACCCCGTCAGGGCACGCGCGTCAGATTCATCTCAGTCGTAAGTGTGAAGAGCCAGGTGGTTGCCGGCACAAAGTGGCGCATCATAAGCCTCTTCCCTTCCTTCCCCACCCCACCTCGCCCCACCCTACTCCACCCTGCCCCACCCCACCCCACCCCGCGCCATCCCGCCCCACCCCGCCAGGGCACGCGCGTCAGATTCATCTCGGTCGAGAGTGCCAAGAGCAAGGTGGTCGCCGGCACCAAGTGGAGCATCACTCTGCGCGCCGTCGCCCCCCCAAAGAACTCCTTGGGAAGCCGCATCCGCGTCATGCCAGTCTTGGGTACCTACGTGACGGAGGTTTTTGAGAGCCCGACGCCAGTGGTAGCACAGCCGACGGTTGTAGCACAGCCGGCGGCGGGAGATTCACAACCGGTGGTGGCGAATGATCAGCCTGTAGCCGATGGACAGGCGTCAGGCGTGGCGCAGCCGGCGTTAGCAGATTATCTACAGCTGGTCTCCTTTGCCAAGAAGAAATGATGGGCTTGGACGCGCGACTTGTGAGACAGTTAAACGACGCGATCTGTCACGAGCTGCTCCCTCTCTCTTTGGCACGCAGAAATGGCAGGCTTGAAGGCATGACTCTTGAGGTGCGTTGTAAGACGTGAGCTTTCACGAGCTGCCCCCCTTTGGCAAGGAGAAAGGAAAAAGATTGGAAGCAAGGCGAGAGTGCAGAATGGGGAACCACGGAAGTGCAGGCCAAAGCACAGAGCATCGCTGCTGTTTAGGTTAGGTTTAAATTTGAGTGAGTAGTACTCGAGCCTCTGGGGAAGAAGTGGGCTGGGGTAAGTTACTGTAAGGATCTCTGTTGTATTGATGTGAGATGTTCCTTTCCTTCTGGGCTGCTGTGAGATGAAGTTGTTTCCTAGGTTCTGTGTGGCGCTGTGAGGTGTGTCCCCTCCCCTCCGTTTACTAGGGTCACTGGTACTATGGTGACCAGTTCTGTAACAGTGCATTCTTTATTGTGCTAGTGGTTAAAATAAAGTGCAAGTGTACCACAAACCTTGAACACAAAGTAAAGCATCCTGAACGATTGTTGAAACTAAATGAATACCTGGCTTAAGGGTGCATTCCTGTGTGGACACAAATGTCTCAATCCCCCTTTTCCCGAGTCGCGTCGTAACATTTTGTCAACCTCGCGTCACAAAAAAGGAATGTATTGCGACACTAGGCGACCAGGCGAAATGTACAGTTGTGCGCTTTTGATTGGGTTTCGGAATTGACTGTACACCCGTTTCTTCAAACGCCTGGCTGGGGTGTGGTTTCGACGCGCGGGTTTTTTTCCCGCATGAAATTGGCATTGGGGGGTGTTGAGGTGCATTGACATTTCGAACCGCGTGCGACATTTTTCCAGTGACGGGTCGATTTGCAACTCGTCCGCGACGTTAGCGCGTTTCACGCTAACCAATGAAAAATACAGTAATGGTCGCTAAAAGGCGATTCCGTTTGTGACATAATACGTTTTATGCTGTTTTTACGCGTCACAATAGGATTGAGACACAAATGTCCACACAGGAATGCACCCTAAATACGGTAGTAGCGTGTGCCAGAGGTGGAGGTGAATTTCATGTCAGCCTAATAACAACGCCACATTCTCATCTGCCCCATCAGTGCGCTCACAGCCAACATAAACAAGAGAACTCAGAGGTCAGAAAATGGAACAAAATACATGTAACGATAGATGTAAAATAGAATAACATTGTATGCTGTACACTTGGGCGCCAATCTGGCAAAGTAGTGTGACAGAAGCGGAGGTGATTTGAGTCGATCCAATGTCGAATCGAATTATTGCTCGCTGGGTCACTGTACCAGACCAGCTCACAATTTCCCCGCAACCGACGCCACGTCTTACGCGTTGAAATCGCACTTGAAATAAGGCCTTGATATTGCCGAGCCAGCACATCTCTCAGTAGGAGCTAGGCCAATCAGCTGCTGCCTTGCGCGTTCACTCACTCGAACTTGTATTGCCGAGCCAGCAACCCACACGGCAGCAGCCTATCAGCTGCCGTTCTGCGCGTTCGCGAAGCAAACTCCGCTTCGTAAATACTCCGTAGTCATAGCTATCTATTTGCACGCATCCGCAAGCAGTCGTCGTTTCGCACATTCATTGGTCGAACCCGAATTATGGCACCAGCGAGCCAGCACTTATCGCTCTCGCATGGAGCAGCCATGGCTCAACCAATAAATCCGTTTACCTTCAGCACGAACCAGGCGTTCACGACTAGGTGGCGGATCATATGCGGTATAATTAGCAAAGAGTTTCAAGCTAAGGAGAGACAAACCTTTCGTGCATCAATAGTGATTCGCTTCTTCGACAGCCTCTTGAATCTAACAAATCCTATCACTCCTCCTTGCCCCCGACTAACGACCGATCATGGGTCACAGCATCGCCAGTCACGGCCTGAACCCTAAGCACGCCGTGCTTGCCGTTACCGCAGTCGTCGTCGTCGTTTCGCTCCTCTCCTCGTTTCCATCCGCCGCGGCATCTGGCCTTCCTGGCCCCTGGACCGCCGTGAAAGACGCGGCGACGAATAAGGACGTGGAGGCTTTGGCCAGATTCGCCGTCGACGAGCAGAACAAGAAACAGGTACGTCAACGGAAACATCCTACTGTCGAGGCGCCTATAAATTCCTTCCCCGGAATAGCAACGTGAACATCCTATTCCCTTCTCTCCACCCCACTTCACAGAAATCAAGCCTCAAGTTCCGCTCTGTCAAGTCCGCGTCGCACAAGGTGGTGGATGGCGACAAGTGGCAAATCGTGCTGCGTGTCACGCAGGCCTCACCGAGCAACTCCCTAGGCCGCCGCGCCGTCGCGCCGTTGACAGAGTATGTGGCGGAAATCTGGGACCAGCCATGGTCCGGCTTCCGCGTGCTGCTCTCGTTCGACAAGGCGAAGGCGTGACGGCAGCGAAAGCTGAAGCGAACGCATGTGTCCGTGCTGGTTGCTGCGATGATGTGTTGAGTTGAGACAGACGCCTGGTGACGTCCTCGATTTCACATATTGCGATGCTTGAGAGAGACATGGTATACCAGTAAGGGTTTTGTTGGTTCACTAGTCTTGTACGGTAACTTAATCTCTAGAGGCAAATGTAGAGAGAGGCTGTGCACTTTGTTGTAATATGTTTAGATAAATTTATAGAAGTGTGCATCCCACTAAACAGAGCAACTCATCACAGAGCCTCCTTGCCCCTCTCACTGTGCCATCGACACATACCGGTACCGTGCTTGATTTTCCTCACACCAGTTCTGAGACATATCAAACCAGGTGACAACTAGCCCTCGTTCCCTCCTGCCAGCAACGTCTGTCCCAGCTGCAACATCACCGAATACACCGGGTGGAACTCCTTCCCACCCCTTGCCTTCACACTGCCCACGTAATCGTCTAAGGACGCCTTGATGCCCTGCCACGCCTGCTGCTGCGAGTGCTGGTCCAGCCAGAGGGAGTAGCGCGCTGGGGGCTGCTGGATGCGCGTGAAGGGAGAGAGCAGCTCAGGGGGAGCGCGGGAGAAGAGGTGGTGCAGCACGACGCTTGGAGGGAGGTCCTGTGTGGGGTTGTGAGGGGGAGGGGGTGAAGCAAGAGAGGGAAATGGGAGTGAGCGGACTGATAAATTCCTGCAGAATGAGAAAAGAGCACAGGAGAAGTGGGTGTGACGTGCGTATGTGCTGCTCTGTCTGCTGCTCTTGCCCTGCCACGCCTGCTGCTGCGAGTGCTGGTCCAGCCAGAGCGAGTAGCGCGCTGGGGGCTGCTGAATGCGCGTGAAGGGAGAGAGCAGCTCAGGGGGCGCGCGGGAGAAGAGGTGGTGCAGCACGACGCTTGGTGGGAGATCCTGTGTGTGTTGGGAGAGAAGAGAGGGGAGACGGGGGGACGGGGAGTGAGTGGTCTGACGAATTCGTACAGAAGGAGAAAACGCACAGGACATGCGTGCCTTGATGCCCTGCCACGCCTGCTGCTGCGAGTGCTGGTCCAGCCAGAGCAAGTAGCGCGCTGGGGGCTGCTGAATGCGTGTGAAGGGGGAGAGCAGCTCTGGGGGAGCGCGGGAGAAGAGGTGGTGAAGCACCACGCTTGGGGGGAGGTCCTGGGTAGAATGGGCAAGAAGAGACATGAGAGCAAGTGGGGAGAGCGGGAGTGAGTGAACATTTTTTAGAGGACTCAGAAAAACCCTTTCATCATAGAGTGGGAGTGGGAGGACAGAGAATGATGGTTGGGATATTCAAGGTCTAGGAACCAAAAAGGGCGTGAAGGCGTCACGTCACGTCAGGTCTAGGGTGTGTGTGTGTGAGAGGTGCTGCCCCACTGCAAACCTCTATATGTAGTATGTAATAAATACTTGAAGAGTAAAATAATTATTAAAAAATACAAATCAGAATATGGTGGTCTGGGTATGATCAACATCATAACATCCAAGGTCAAAACTTCAGAGTCATCTGTCGACTGCTTCATTTCATGCATTGCCTTCATGTATTATCACATTCGTTAACCTCAACTGCCTATGCGGAGCCCACCAATCATGAAGTCATGTCGTCCAATCAGCCGATGACGCCGAAGGAAGCCATACAAGCGCATTTGAGTGGTATTAAGGTAGGTACCGTTATCGAGAAAGCGATGCGATTTTTTAACGGTAACTACCATAATACTGCTCAAAAACGACAGTACAGTTTCTTTCGGCATCATCCGCTCACCAAACGCCATGAGTTCACAACTGGTGGTGGACGGTGCACAGGCAGTTGAGGTTAACGCACGTGATTATACATAAAGGTAATGCACGAATTGAAGTAGTCGACTGACCCCGACTGCGTGAGTAGGGAAGAGATCCTACCCCGCTACGAACTCCAGCTCGCCCATGTCCCTCCCCAGCCTCACTGCATTTGGAACTCCACACTGGGAGCAGACAAGGACTGGCAGCATGGCTACCACCTTTGTTACAACCAACTGGCTCACCTGCAGCAGCGAGCTGGTGGGGATTTTATCCAGGTCGAGGAAGAGCAGTGGCCTGAAGGCACGCAGGGCGCGGTAAGAGGCGCCCAGGGCGTGTGTGGGGAAGAGGTGCTGCCCCACGGCGAACTCCAGCTCGCCCATGTCCCTCGCCAGCCTCAGCCGCCCCGCCTCTGAGAGTGGCCGCACGAGAGAGGCGTGACGCACGAAGAAGAGGAGCGTGCGGGACGCCAGGCTGAGAGGAAAGGGGACGGGGACGAGGAGGGGAGGGGGACAGGGAGAGGAAGGTGAGGGGGAAGGACAAGGGACAGGACTATGGAGGGAGATTGTTTTAGAATTTCCAAAAGTGATTGAAATCTGAGACGTCTCAAAACAGCATACACGAGCGCCCACTGATTGTCAGGGACTGGGGATTGGGCTCTAAAACAGTCGCAGGTGACAGGGCCACAACAGAGGGAGAGTCTGGAGGATTCTTGAAGGCGAAACAGAGACGCACACACGAGGTAAGAGCCCTCCATTTTGCAGGGAGCAGGGTCCTAAAGAGTCACAGAGAGCAGGGGCAGAGGAAGGGAGGGAGGGCTTGATCTCACAGCACCCGACAGTGACAGAGGTGCCGAGAATACACACAAGACAGAGGCGTCTTGAAAATCGAGCTTACCGCTTTGCAAGGGACTGGGCAACAGGCTCCGAGACAGTCGCCTGGGGGAGGGCTGTGGAGGGGGAGAGAGGGCCCGAGGCAGCAGCACCGGACAGAGGTGCCGAGAATATGGACGATACAGAAATGGTCTCATAATTCGAGCTTACCGCTTTGCAAGGGACTGGGCAACAGGCTCAGAGACAGTCGCCGGGGGCAGGGCCGTGGAGGGGGAGAGAGGGCCCGAGCAGCAGCACCAGAGAGAGATGCAGCAAATATGGACGACACAGATATGCCTGACGAATCAAGCTCACCGCTTTGCAAGGGACTGGGCAACAGGCTCGGAAACAGTCGCAGGGGGAGGGCCGTGGAGGGAGAAAGAGGCCCTGATCCCGCAGCACCAGACAGAGATGCAGCGAATATAGACGATGCCGGTGCAGCGGAACCCAAAGAGGAGGTGGTGGAGGAGGTAGAGGAGGAGTCAGGGGGAAGAAGCTTGGAGAGAAACTCAGTGTGGAAGTGGGAGATGGCTCGAATTGTATTCTCCATGTATGGCGAGCAGTTGTCACCCGCTGACTCGCTGCTGCTGCTGCTGCTGCTGCTGGTTGTGTTTCTGGGTTGGTCTGGAGCCTCCCCCGCTGCTGGCACGGTTTCTTGAGGCAGCGCCGAGGGGTGGCGGGGTGGTGGAGGCGGGAGGGGCGTTGGGGTCGTCTGAGGCGAAGTCTTGCTGGTGGATTTGGAGGAGACATGCTTCGATGCGGTCCCGCATGGCCTGGCAGGGAGGGTGTGGAATAGGAAAACAGCACGGGAGAAATTGGGCTGTTCATGAGTGGTTCTGCTGCTGGTTGTGTTTCTGGGTTGGTCTGGAGCCTCCCCCGCTGCTGGCACGGTTTCTTGAGGCAGCGCCGAGGGGTGGCGGGGTGGTGGAGGAGGGAGGGGCGTTGGGGTCGTCTGAGGCGAAGTCTTGCTGGTGGATTTGGAGGAGACATGCTTCGATGCGGTCCCAGCGCACACAGCAGGTGCAGCATACAGCGCGACCCAGCAAAACGTACCTTGAAGAGGGGAGCAACGGCATCCATTGCAACGCCATGCACGGACCCCACACCTGCCTCCATCACTGAGTCTGCCTCCTCTGGCAGGCGGGCCAGCAGCTGCTGGCAGCGTGTGTGCACTGCCCCTAGGAGCACGCACCCCACCAGGTGCCAGAACATCAGAACTCTGTGTGCGTACCTTGAAGAGGGGAGCCACCGCGTCCATTGCAACGCCGTGCACGGACCCCACACCCGCCTCCATCACGGCGTCTGCCTCCTCTGGCAGGCGGGCCAGCAGCCGCATGCAGCGTGCGTGCACTGCTCCCAGCAGCACGCACAGGGCGATGTTGCGCTGCTGCGCTGGCGAGCAGGGGCCCAAGACCTGGCGGGATTCAGGACCGGTGGCGACCTGGAAGGCATAAGGGGAACGGGGTGAAGGGGAAAGCAGTGAGGGGGTGCATGCAGCGGGAGTGCACCGCTCCCAGCAGCACGCAGGGGGAGATGTTGCGCTGCTGCGCTGGCGAGCAGGGGGCGAGGACTTGACGGGATTCAGGGCCTGTTGCAACCTGCAGAGCATAAGGGGAGTAGAAAAGAAGGGGAGGTAGTCAGCAGCTGCACGCAGCGCGTGTGTACCGCCCCAAGGAGCACGCACAGGGAGATGTTGCGCTGCTGCGCTGGCGAGCATGGGCCCAGGACTTGCCGGGACTCGGGACCAGTGGCAACCTGGAGGGTGGGGAGGGGAGAATAGTGAGCAGGTGCATGCAGCGGGAGTGCACTGCTCCCAGCAGCACGCAGAGGGCGATGTTGCGCTGCTGCGCTGGCGAGCAGGGGCCAAGGACTTGGCGGGACTCAGGGCCTGTAGCGACCTGGAGGGTAGGGAGGGGAGAAGGGGAGAATAGTGAGCAGCTGCATGCAGCGTGAGTGCACTGCTCACAGCAGCATGCAGAGAGCAATGTTGCGCTGCTGCGCTGGCGAGCAGGGGCCCAGCACTTGACGGGACTCAGGGCCTGTAGCGACCTGTGAAGGCAGGGGAAAGGAAGGTGGAGAGAAGGGAATGAGGGAGAGAGTAATGAGCAGGAGCATGCGGCCTGACTGCACTGCTCCCAGCAGCACACACAGAGAGATGTTGAGAGGCTGGGATCGCGAGCAGGCGGCCAGACCAGGACTTGACAGTATTCTGGACTGGTGTCAAAATGCAGGAATAGGGGGGGACGAACGGACGAGGAGAGGCGGATGAAGAGGAAAACTGTTTCTGCACACAAACATCCACACCACCACTCATCTGGTACTCGCATCTCTCTGCCAGCAGCTGAAGCGCCTTGCCTGCATTCGCCAGCATGAGCCGCAGCAGCCTATGGAATGGTTATGCTCCATACACTATGACGCATCACCCCTGTCACCGAATCTAATGGTGAGTGCATCATATTCTGGACATTTGCTAATTGAGGTGTAGTAGTGCTGTAGCAATTGCTATTCAAGCTATAAAGGGGGGGTAGTTGGGTATTGGGAGAAGCGAAGGGTTGGTGACATTGGGGGGCGCAGGGCGCTGCGGGAGCAATTCCAGGGACATTGGGAGACAGGAAATCTGGCGAGGGCCAATCCAAGGCCTAGGCGGCTCGGGCTCAACCCATCACGCTGAGAATTGCGCGACTGGGTAGCAATGCACAAGAAGCCTAGCCTAGCAAAGCAATCTTGTTCTCTCGACTTGTTTACCTATCATAGCGGATTTCTGTTACCGTACTCAAGCTATCGCAGCTAGGTGACTAAGCCGCTCTTGGTAGCCATCCTGTGGGAGCCCGTAACTCTCACAAGTCGAGAGAAGTGCGCCGGCGATATGGATCGCCATGAGCTGCGGACGCAGCGTACGTACTCGCGGCGGGAGCGCTCTCCGTCGCGTATGAGGCGCTCAAGGGAGCGCGGAAGGTCGCCAACGCGCTCGCCGCGGAGGGCAGCGTATCGTGCGGATCCGGTGACGCCAACGGGCGTGCGAGGAGAGGGAAGCGGGGAGGATCTGCGCGTCAGATCGGAGCCTTGGAGGCGACCCGCAACGAGCAATCCGTGGAACCTGGCGGGAGGCCAGCACGGACTGGAGGAAGGGTATCACGATGGAGACGTGGAGATGGAATCGACGGGCGAGCTCGATGATGAAGAAGAGGGGGAAGAGCCCCCGCTTGTTCCTGGTCGCGGGAGACGAGGCATCGCTGGCGGGGAAGGATTTCCTGCTGAGCAAGGCGGCGGAAGACGTGGCGACGCCGGCGACGAAGATTCCCCCACTGCGCGGGGCGGCGGAAGACATGGCAACGATGGCGACGAGGGATCCCGTACTGCACGGGGCGGCGGAAGGCGTGGCAACGCCGGCGACGAAGAGTCCCCCACTGCGCGGGGCGGCGGAAGGCGCGGCGTCACCGACGACGAGGGATCCCCCACTGCGCGGGGCGGCGGAAGGCGCGGCGACGCCGGCGACGAAGATTCCCCCACGGCGCGGGGCGGCGGAAGGCGTGGCAACGCCGGCGACGAAGAGTCCCCCACTGCGCAGGGCGGCGGAAGGCGCGGCGTTACCGACGACGAGGGATCCCCCACTGCGCGGGGCGGCGGAAGGCGCAGCGACGCCGGCGACGAAGATTCCCCCACTGCGCGGGGCGGCGGAAGGCGTGGCAACGCCGGCGACGAAGAGTCCCCCACTGCGCAGGGCGGCGGAAGGCGCGGCGTTACCGACGACGAGGGATCCCCCACTGCGCGGGGCGGCGGAAGGCGCGGCGTTACCGACGACGAGGGATCCCCCACTGCGCGGGGCGGCGGAAGGCGCGGCGACGCCAGCGACGAAGATTCCCCCACTGCGCGGGGCGGTGGAAGACGCGGTGACGCCGGCCACAACGGGTCACCCACTGCGCGGGAAGAAGGGAAGCAGGGGATCAACAAGAGGGATGAGGAAGAGCGGATCCGCCGTGGAAAAGCGCGGGAGGAAGGCAAAGAACACCGGGAAAGAGAGCTCTCACCTGCAGGACCGCGCGGAGGAGTACGGCGAGGGAGCGGCAGAGGAGAGGAGTGCCGATCGAAGGCGCGCCAAGGAGGCGGGACAAGTCAAGGGGCACCGGTGGGTGTCTTCCACTCACCTGAACCAAGGCCAGGGTATAACCGCCGACGACGCATGGCGTTGGGCGGGGATCGGCAGCCGGATCAGGAAAGGCGAGAAGAAGAGCTGGATGACGTGGGACGGCATCAGAGAGGACACCACGAGTGGGAAGAAAGGCGTGGCGGAGAAGGACGCTACAAAGACAAGGGAAGACGTTCACCGAACGGTTCAACAGCAAGGGAAGGAGGTTGGCTGCGAGAAGAGCGAGAGCGGCATCATCAGGGGCGGTCTCCTGCGCAGAGAGAGCGGCAATGGGGCGATCAAGAACGACGCAGGGGAGGTCAGGAAGGGTGGAGGAGGAGTCAGAGCCCGAGTGGAATAAGGAGGCCACGACAGTGTGGAGAAGGATCTAGCGGAGCGAGAGCGGCACGTGAAGGGCTAGAGCGGGTGCTGTATGGGACCAGCACGGAGAGCAGAGGAGAAAGAGGAAAGCAGCGAGGGGCTGCTCAAACAGATCAGGGAGGCTCTGGAAACTGGGATGTGGGGAGATGGAGCGCGACAGCACAGCCAAGAGTGGAGGTGCCCGTACGCTTCACAGGGAACGAAGGTACAGGCCCAAGCCTTAAGAACTACCTGATGCAGATAAGCAACGTCAAGTACAGGGGTTGGACAGGGGACTGGCAGGAGGGCTGAGAATGAGAGTTTATGAGCTAGGGGCGGATGCATCACCAGAAGAAGTGTTCGAGTTAGCAGAAAGGGTGGAGCTGGCACAGAGGAAATACGAGGTGTACCTGCCAAGAGCGACAGAGAGAAAGAATCCCGCTTGGGCAGCAGCAATGGTGGCTGAGACAGGAGGAAGGGAGGAAGGACGGCAGGAGAGAGGAGCGGAGACACGCACTTGCCACCGGTGCAAGCAGCCGGGACACTTGATGCGGAACTGCAGGAATTGTGACACCTGCGGGAAGCCGGGACACCGACGCAAGGATTGCCCAGATGCACCGATCTGCGAGGTGTGCGGGAAGCGGGGGCATAGATGCAAGGACTGTTACCAGCGCTCGGGAGGACAGCGGAGGACGCCAGAGGATATAAAAGGACAAATCAGCAAGCTGCAGGCGCAACTGCAGGCACTGGGAGGAAAGCCAGAGAAAGAAGCAGGGCTGTATGCGAGGGAAGACGATGACGAGGCAGAGGTGATAGAGGAGCCAAATCCAGAATACCAGTTCATGGTGCTGCGCAGCAGAGATGACCTGGGCCTGCGTAGTGAGGGCAGGGACGGAAGGAAAGAACAGATGATGAAAGAGAGGAGGCGGCCAATGAGCGACAAGGAGGAACAGCGGGACAGAATAAAGGAGCCTGGCCGGCACCCAAAAGACAGACTAGCAAGTCAGGCCACGGTGCTCATGGTGGAGCCAGGAGCAGTGATGGTGGGAGGAGAAAAAGCCAAGACAGCCATACTGGACACTGGAGCACAGAGCGTCATGCTGGGTAAGCGGATGGCACAGAAGCTAGGACTAACAGGGCCAGGACAGACCGTGAAGAAAGGGATGCTGGTGATGACGGCAGAGGGAGGCGAGCCTAAGTGGTTACCCTGCACGAAAACACCCATAGAAGTGACACTATTGCCAGGACAGGAAGGGCAGACGTGTCTCCAAGTGCCATGTGGTATATCGGAGTCGGAAGACTTTGATGTACTGCTTGGGACGGACCTGATATGGGGCGTGGGCATGACCATCTGCACATGGAAGGAGCAGGTGCAGTTTCGGAAGCAGTACTGGACAAAGAATAGTGAGGTGAGGGAGTTACCGGTGCAGTTTGTGAGACAGGAACCTAAGAGGGCATACGCGGTAGGCGAGGCAGGGAGAAAGGAAGGGGGAAAAGCAGGGCTGGTCGGCAAGGCAGCGGCGGCAGGCGGATGGCAGGAACCAATAAGGCTGGTAGAACTGTTCGGAGGCATCGGTGCAGGCTTGGCAGCAGTAGTAAAAGCAGGGATAGCGGTGAAAGAGTGGGTATACGTGGAGAAGAACGAGAAGGCCAGGAAGATGGCTGAACACCACGCCCGTATGCTCCAGAGGGAGAATCCTGAGCTGCTGGAAGCAAAGGTAATAGACAGAGCAATGCGGAGGACAGTGAAGGATGTAAGGGGGATTACGCCAGAAATGGTAAGGGATTGGGGACCAGTGGACCTGCTGGTGGCAGGATGGGAATGCCAAGGGGTATCGAGGGCCGGCAAGGGAAGAGGGATGGAGGACCCCCGAGGAGCGATGCTGCTAGATTTACTGCGCATCATGGACTGGATCAGGGAGAGGCAGGAGAAGTTGGTATACCTGCTGGAGCATCTGGACCTAGAGGGAGACTGCAGGGAGCCGGTAAGGAAGGTGAGGGACCTGGTGTGGAAGAAACTGGGAAAAGGGGTGAGGTGCGACGCCGCGAGGTTGGGGGCACGCGCGCACAGGGTAAGGAGGTACTGGCAGAACGTTGTGCCTGACGAGCAGCTGCAAGAAGAACTGGACGGGATAAGGAGGGATTGGAGCAGAACGGTAAGGGATATCTTGGAACCAGGCAGGACGGCAGCGCCCGTGAAAAAGGGGAGACATGCGACACAATGCCCCTGCAACAAAGTGGGGGCAGAGCGCAGAGCATGGCCGACCCTAGTGGCCTATGAAAAGGCAGCAGGGTTTAAGATGGAAGGTGGGGAGCCAGGGGAGGGGATGGTGTATGATCATACGAAGCAGCAGTGGGAAGAACCTACGGCGCTGGAGAGGGAGCTGGCGATGGGGTATGAGGAAAACGCAACGAAGGCAAGTGGGGTAACAGAGCAGGAGAGGAGGCGAGCACTAGGGCAGGCAATGGATGGGCAGGTAATGAGGTGGTTCGTGCGGAGGATGTGGAGAGGGGTAGTGTTGGAAGCGGAGCCAAAAGGGGAGGAACAGATGCGAGAGGTGCAGAAAGTGGGGGCATGGGTGAGCTTACCCATGAAGGAGGAGGCAGAATGGGCGATAGGAGACACCAT